GAAAATGTAATACCTCATATTGTTCAGTCAGCCATGCTATTCAGGTAATGCTACATGTACATTTAATAACTTTTGCTACTCTATAATACATTAAAGAAATCACCAGCATTTGGAATTATCAGTGGATCTGGCACAAATCGAAGAAACTTAATTTACTTTGATTAGAAACAAATCGAAGGGGAAGCTTAGATTTCTGAAAATACTAATTGAGAGAGAGAAATGGAGTTTAAAGTCCACTTGACACAAACTAGGTCATTTTGCTACTAACATATGGTTCAATTTTATTTCAATAATTTGTTTGCGCGTAGGGGTCTTTAGCAGTGGGAGGAAACCGAAGAATCCAGAGAAAGTCCATGAGGTTGGACAGGCGACACGATTCCTTGTCACGACAAGTGGGAATCGAAACCAAACCACACCACTTGACTCAATGACAGACCTTATGGTTTCACCTGCAAGCGTTAAACGATTAGCACCCCCCCCCCAAAAAAAACAAACTAATTGAAAGTGAAACGTATGTGCAAGGTACAATTGTATTGAGCATATAGAAGTTAATAATCCACATATACAAATAAAATCAAATTAAATGTGGTTTAACATTTTACTTTTCTGCACCATCTGGCATGGGCTAATAAAGAAGGATATATGCCATCCATTGTGCCATGAGGGAAATTTTCAATTTTCAAGGGATCTTTAATGTACATTAATTATTGTCAATGGTATACATGTGACCTTGATTTTTTATGCCATCCAAATAACTAGACATCTTTCCTTGCCAAGCACTTCTTCATGCACCACTGACAAGGGGAACCCAGGAACATTCTTTATCCACAACTGGATCGAATCTGGGACACTCACCAAGAGAAGGTGGCTCCTATATTGCTGTTGGTATATATAATGTAAAGAGATTGTAACATGAAGAATACAGTATAACCTTTCTGTGGAACAAATTGTCTTTCATATGTATTTTGCAGGATCGAACATTAGTATTCAGTTCAAAAAACATGTTCACACAGGATTGAAAGTGTTATCAATTTATTTATTCATGTGCATCCAAAATTTAATTACACTCAATCAATGAACATGTACATGTATGATCTTTGTTCATAAAGCTGTGACACTGCATTATTCATAGATAGTTTTACATTCTACAATTTTGATTTTTTTGACATAATATTATTCAAATCAGGAATAGATCAAACTTCTTTGAAAGCAGTTTGTTTGGAGTGGAAGTGGACCGTTCTGGCAAATCGAACAACCGTTGGCGGGATCGAGGGGTAGAATCTCACAAGTTTATTTATTTTACCTGCTAGTGGTATTGTAGGTCTATTACATGTACAACAAACCATTGGATGGATGAAAGGTTTATCAGATCAACCATTTTGAAAATATTATTTCTGATCTAGAAACTTGCTCTGTACTTGTTGGTGTCATTCTGAAGTAATTCTCAGTGCAATGAACTACATGTATACCTAAACCAAATGGACCCCTAAGATCAGTGAGAACACAGAATAACAGATATTCAATTTGTTCTTTCAAACATAATTTACCTGCAACAATACATTTCCATACAAATACTCTAAACACATTAATCACAGTATCTTTAAGGTTACTATAGGGAAAAGGATTAAAGTTTCACAGTATGAAGACTGCAGTGTGTAACAAGAATGCATGTTAATGAGGTGTTATTAATGTGCAGTGTGAACAGAACTGTCATGAAATATTTGGACATGGGTTTGATGGGAGTAAAGTGTTAAAACCGTCTGACCTCTTCAAGATAACAATAGCTTGTTTGGACTGATCCTGGTGGCTAAATCACAGTCGTTGACCCCATAAATGACCCCACTGGATTGCTTTATGGCTAATACTAGGGTCGCATTATGTCATCTCTAAGCTTCCCAAGTTTATAACCATACATCTCAAGTCTTAAATGGTGTCATTTAGTGCCCCAAGAATTAGAAATCCTAATAAATTTACAACTACTGTCTATAACACATTGATCAAAGAAACCAATAAAACTATTAATAATTATAGTGCATATTGTTAGTGAAGTTTTATAATTCACAATTAAATACCAATACTATAATACTAAATGTATTGGCCATTGTTTCTTAATGTGAGCTACACTCTGAAGTGTAACAGCTCCTTAGATTTATGATTCTGTGGTAATAAAAACTTCATTAGATCATGGCTGTGTAAACATGTCAGTCAGATCTGTAAATTTTCATCAATCTGATATGAATAATTATTTAAATAAAAGTACAATTTTTCGGTATATACGTCATGTATCTATCTAGCGAGGTTGGCTGGTTGCATGGTTTAACGCATGTGCTTTAGATCATAAGGTCTGTCACTGAGTTAAGTGGCATGGTTTCGATTCCCCACTTGTACATGTACATGGCAGGGGTGTAGGGTCGCTTATGTCCAACTCATGGGTTTCCCACTGCTAAAGATCCCTACACACAAGCGAATTAGTGAAATAAAGTTGAAGCATGTATTAGTCCCAAAATAACCTAGTTTGTGTCAAGTGGATATTAAACCTCTCTCTCTCTCTCTCTCTCTCTCTCTCTCTCTCTCATGTACTTATTGAAACCATATTGAAACATTGTGGTTATAAAATAAACCTATAATTGTTTCCTAAAGAAATCGTGTTCTGTTAATCTATTTACATTGTATCTATACCTATTCATTTAGGATCAAATTTTCAAGCTACTGTATTTAGAATCAAATTACAACCATACCCTATTGAATTTATTTAAAGGTTTTGAATTTTTGCAGTCTTCTCACTTTCAAGAAATAGTTTAAAGAGTTATTAGCACTCATCCCATTGTTAAAATTAATTTTTGATTCAACTTTATTTGACTATACAGTTACGATGAGTATGTGCAAACTAGATTGTACATGTATGCAAAATTTGAGATAAATCTTCCAAGCCAACACTGAGATACATGTATTATGTATTAAACTTTCAATTTAGAGTCGCATGAAGTTTTTAATATAACACCTACATTTACATGTGGAAGAACGAGTACAAATGTTTCAAAGAGTTCTTTCAAGGAAACATTGCCTTATAGTTTATTGCTCTATCTTGTAACTAATTGCCTCTAAAGAGTTTGAAGTTTTTAGTTTTTTAGCAAATGCTCTTGAAAAATACCTTACTCTAAGTAGGTCAGTAATTTGAAATGAAATGGGGCTTAACATTCTACTTTTCTACACACAATTGATTTGATTTTTGATAATCAGGGAAGAAAAAGGTTATCTTCAGTATGTTATTCTAAGTTAATTTAATTTATTTTCTTAGTGAGGATGATAATGCTTCTTAAAAAATTTGAATTATAATTAGTTAAGATCCAAGATGGAATTTCTTAATTATGATAAATGAGGCTGACTTTAATCCCCATCTGTTTGGTATTACAAATTGGAATGCAAATCATTCTCTTCCAGATGACAGTAGAATTTATAATCAACATTATGTAAGCTTATCCAATGTATAAATGGCATAGAAAAAAGCATACCATCAGAGAGATAGAGACCTCAACATAAACTATGTCCTTTAGGAACTAAGGGGGCTTTGATGGCTGAATGGAAAGGTGTGCATGTTGTATCATAAGATCTGTCATTGAGTCAACTGGCATTGTTTCAACTCCCCGGTTGTACGTGAAGAGGAGTAGGGTCGTCTGTCCAACCTCGTGGGTTTTCTCTGGGTCCTCTGGTTTCCTCCCACTGCTAAAGACCCCTACGCGCAGGCAAATTATTGAAATAAAAATTGAATCATATGATATGTCAATATGTCAGTAACGAAATGACCTAGTTTGTGTCAAGTGGACCTTAAACGTCATTTCTCTCTCTCTCTCTTACGGAACAAATAAAGTACAAAGTAAAGTAATAATTCGCTTGTGCATGGGGCTATTTAGTAGATGGAAGAAAGAGGTGAACACTAAGGAAACCTACTTGGTGACCCTAAAACATGTCACATAAAAGCTTTTTTTCTTATCAACACCCTCCCCCCCCCCACCACTTAAGCCAATTACAGATCACTAAAACTCCACCACTTGAATCAATTACAGACCACTAAAACCAATCACAGACCACTAAAACCAATCACAGATCACCAAAACCATACCACTTGAGCCAATTACAGATGACTAAACCACCCAAACCCAACTCATTATGTCACACCTTGATTATTTTTCAGTTAACTGTACATTATCAGGTTGCATTGTGATCAAAATAAGCTCAAAAATTAATCACAAAGTATCTATTTCAATAATAGAAACAAAAAGAAAAAAAAGAAGGAATTATATTGATACACAAGCACCATGCATACAATTACCTAAAATATTTTTACACAAAATTACTTTAGCATGTATACTGTAATTATTTTTGTATATATATTTTTATATATATTTGTACAGTACTTATTCCTAGTATGTATTCATGAGATGTCTGATGAGGCCTCTATTGTTTTCAGCTGTGACCGGCCAGGCCTAAGCATGTACATGTAGAAAAATCAATAGGTTGAATCTTTTTTGATTTTCTAAAAATAAATCTATGTACATCAGGTCAACAAAAGATAAAAGGTCCCTAAAAAAATTGCCTTCACTTAAAAATCGTTTTATTTGAACTGACCGACGTCTTTTGATTAAGATCAAGTCATGCATGACTAATATTGACAAGAGGGTTTATTTCAAACAGTGTACATGCTCGTTTTGACGTATACCATAGCTGTTCTCGTTGACTGTGTTATTACGGCGTTATTTACTGTGCGTTACGTGCAAAAGTTCACAGCATAACGGCTAAATAACCGACTCGCAACCTTATATTTCTTTGTATCGATCTTCATTTCATGTACTACAACCAAATAACCCACTGGAATATAACGTAAATTATGAGTCAGTGATGTCTTCTTTCAATGAATATCGAACGCTGCAGCAGCTCCCGACTGCAAGCGACGCGTGTGTAGCGATACTCGATATTATGACAAAAAAATAAACCAAATTTACCTATTCGCCTGGCTCTAAGGCTCACACTTTGAATCAACAGCATCCACAAGACAAATACTCCAAAATTATAATCCATTTTCAGTTGAAATTAGCTAAATCTAAGTCATTTTCACAACAATAACAATCATAAGAGCCACCGCATCTCGACCTAACGGTTTCTCTGAATACAACTTACAAACAAAGCTAGCAACGTTTATCACTCACGGTAGATTCGTATAATGGATCGTCTGCAAATCAGGGGCGGTTAACTCTTTCCTCGACGATCAGGAGGAAGACCAGCAATTCGCCCAGGGACAAGAAACCCACTATAGTCGGCCCCGCACATAAAAAGTGTATAGATTAACCCAAAAGCAGGTTTATCTGAAACAGCATAATGTAATAATAAAAAACCCAACCCACTGAATTCCTAGCCTTGGTCACGGAGCACACTAAAGAGGGAGGCTTAAAGCAGGCAACCGTATCGAGAGATAAACAATGGCTATTATTCAAGAATATTGCAAGTACCGGAGCTTAAACTGCTAAAAATTTCTAAATCATTATTATGCGCATGCAACAATTAGTATGATTGAAAGCTGAATAATGACCAAAAATATTCTTGCTTGCATAGGTTAAAATGTATTGGCAAACCATCTGCGTCCTTTACGGCTTTGCATCATAAAGGCATCCTATAGAATCTTTCGAATCTGTCATCACAGTAATAGGTGTGCCGAGCGCTGCGAGGTTATAAATTTTCTATCAATTGTTTTGTATTGATCTTTAATTACTCAAAAATATTATTTGGTCCGTAATAACTTGTAATCTTGAAATACAAACTTATCTCATATACATGTAACATGTACGTTATCCATATAATTTCATTTTGAGATGTTTTAGTTATTTTAAAGTAACGATGCGCCATTTGATTTTTTCATATAGCCTAATCCACGCTATATGTGCCCCGATTGATTATTTAAAGATACATTATATGGGAGATAAGATAAACAGCTGGCAGTTCTCATTATAATAGTTTAAAAGTAGATAATGTAAAGGCAATTTGCTTAAAATTTCAGTCAAATTGCTCCACTATGAACTGAGATTTAAGCGATTGAAATTTCCGCCTAGCCTCGATCATCATTACTAAAGTCTGTATAATAAAAAAACATAGTCTCGATCATCCATTTCATGATTAATTTATGAATGAAGTCGAGCAGAAAATGGGATCATAATCCAGTAAATATCGCAGGCTAGCGATGCCATCGGGAGTTGATTATGGTCTGGATAAGTTAATTAATGTCTAATTAAATTTAGATAACATTTCAGGCCTGTAAAGAAAGGCCTGCTATTGGCAGATTTATCTCTTGCATAATGTTTGTTTAACATTTAATCAAGAAAACAATACTAATGTTACGAGGTTTTAACCCCCAAATCTGTTTTTTTCTTACGACATACGAGGTTTCTGAACGTTTTTGTACCAGAACTGTATGATTTACGAGCTTTTGTATTCGCGTTGCTAGAGATAAATTGGGCATAAAAATGAAGGGAAATCATAAGTATTGTATGATGCCATTCTCTTTTCGGGTATTGACAGTGGGTAGGTAGGGGCGGCAAGTTGCGTGCGAATTTCGGCAACAGTTAGATGCAAAGTAGACTCAAAACCTCAATACTTAAATTGAGGTCTAGGTGGTCAGGAGGATAGGTTAATTGAGGGATATTGCATGCAGCTAGTTATATACATTGCATGTTTAGTGGGGTAAGTGGCGTGAGGGATATGGCCCACAGGTAGGTCTAGATGCTCAGTGGGGTAAGCTGTCTGAGGCGTATTGCCCACAAGTAGGTCTAGATGCTCAGTAGGGTAAGTTACTTGAGGAGTATTGCCCACAGGTAAGTCTAGATGCTCAGTGGGGTACGGTATTGATGGGTATTGCCCACAGGTAGATCTAGATGCTCAGTAGGGTAAGCCTAGGTGCTCATGGTGCCATTTACTGGAAGGGTATTGCCTACCGGTAGGTAAAAATGTTCAGATGGCTAAGTTACCTGAGAGATATCACCTATAGGTAGGTCTATATGCCCACTGGGATAAGATACTTGATGAGTTTTGCCCACAGGTATGTCTAGATGTCTAGTCGGGTACGTTACTTGGGGGTTATTGCCCACAGGTAGGTCTAGATGCTCAGTAGGGTAAGCCTAGGTGCTTATGGTGCCATTTACTGGAAGGGTATTGCCTACCGGTAGGTAAAAATGTTCAGATGGCTAAGTTACCTGAGAGATATCACCTACAGGTAGGTCTATATGCCCACTGGGATAAGTTACTTGATGAGTTTTGCCCACAGGTATGTCTAGATGCCTAGTCGGGTACGTTACTTGGGGGTTATTGCCCACAGGTAGGTCTAGACGCTCAGTCTGGTAAGTTACTTGAGGAGGGTTATTGCTCACAGGCGGGGTAAGTCACTTGAGAGATATTGCCCACAGGTAGCTTACTTAAGGGATACTGCCCACAGTTGATTAAGTTACTTAAGGGTTATTACCCACAGGTAGGTCACAATAATCAGCATGGCAACTTACTTGATAGGTATTGCCTACAGGTAGGTGTAGGTATTCAGTAGGGTAACTTATTTAAGGGATACTGCCCACAGATAGGTCAAGATACTCAGTGGGGTAATGACGTACGCGAGGGGTATCGACAGCAATATGAGAATCTTAGACTGATTCCGCGAGACTCTTTTGCTTGAAAACTGAAAAAAAGATTCATGTCAGAATTTTAGAATTTGACTAAGAGATTATTGTGCGCTGTTATTATTGCAGTGGCCTTTGTATTTTCAATATAGAAGCGTAAAACTGACAAACATGGGCACTAAATAAGATTTATTTGACGTAGCCTGGCAGTAATGACTTGGTATTGCCTTTACCTTATTTCGTTACTAAAAAGAGATAATCTCCACCTTAAAAGCAATACAAGCAATGATATTATTTACTCCCTATAAATTATGTCTACTATGACACATCTTATTACAACAATTATCCTGCGAAATTTTGTCATATATTATACCGCTTTAAGGCCTTTGACACCGTCATCGATAACACGTTGCCGAGATACGAGCATTTAGAAAAGAACAAAATCAGGCCAATCGTGATACGAGGTTTGGTCACACGCTAATAAAATGAAAAGTATTTATCGCAGAACTCTGATTTTTTGATATAGCATGTATTTTATGTTAATAAATTAAATTATGCAAAAAAGTGATTTTCGAAAATGACACCGACGATATATATATTGTAGAGATTCCTAGCGCATAAAATGGCGCATCGGACTTAAACTTATGTACAGTTAACTCTGTATAATGCGTGCAGAAAGTGAATCTTTTTCAATACCCCCCCCCCCCCGGAACCCGAATGTCGGTATTTTGAAAGAAACTGGATATGCATGGCAATTCAGTTTTAACCCCAAAATCCAAGGTTTCGAAGATCCGATAGTCAACCATACTCATCGCAGTGTTTCGTTTGATTAGAGCTAATCCCACTAAACACTGCTTTAATGGAAGCAAATTTCTGTTCCAAATTGTGACTGGTCAATAGTCCGATTAAAAACCAATAGCTAACTGCGTAACGATATCGTTACATTTTAAACAAAACTCCAAATTGGACCAAATATGTTTACATTACGTTGCGTCACGACTCACGATTTTATTATGCCCAATTAACCAGTACATAGCAGAATATTGCAGAAAAACTAATTGCGTGACAAACGAGGCTATTTACACGAATACAATGTAAACAATACAGTATGGAGACGAAGAATACTTTCACCGTTTTTAATACCTTAAATCACTATCCAAAGTTTTAGGGAAGACCCCAGATTAAACGAAGGGCTGTCATGTTGCTGTACTTGGGATAGATTTGATTGAACGGGAAGAATACACACACTCCCTCAAAAGCTCAAGTATATATCAGAAGCCAATCTAGCAGTGGGCAGAGAGGGATTTCTCGGACCATTGCTTCAGGAATACGATAGTCAACAGGTTTGGCCAAAACAATTAACAGATACATGAACAGACTGAAAATAAGATATGGACCTAGACAGACAAAGAAATTGAGATGTAGGCTAACATAATATATAACAGAAGACGAAATGGAAGAAGATCACGCAATGGTGCTGCTGCCGGACAGTTTGTCGGGCTCTTAGTTCATCAGGTATCTTGTTTGCCGGCATGGTCCGTTAAAAATGAGGATGCTGAAGATTAAATTTCCGACGGTGAGATTCGGTTCTCTTATGATCCAACTTGGTAAAAAATTGTCTCCTTCTATTACGTAGGCCTATATTTTGTATTTCTACTCTATGCCAAAACCTCCCAAATTTATCACTGCTAACATTTCTTAACATTAAAAAGACAAGGAACCGAGCGAAAGCTGGCACCGAGTCAAAGGGTGGGAAGATGCACCCGCGTACCAACAATGCCTCTTTTGACAATAGGCAATTCGCATCAGATTATAGCCAATTAAATTTCTCAATGAAACGTTCTGCACACCGCCCTTCTATCACAGAGCTGCATTGGAATAAATTCGATGACGTCATGATTATATGACGTCATAACAGACATATACGTCGTGTGTAATGTTTACCGTTACCTAGTTGAAAGGTGAAATTGGGTTTCCGAAAGAGGCAGTAGAATCTGTGCACACCGGAATGTAAATGTTGCACATCCGATAGTTCCCCTTTCGACAGAAACATTATTTACCACCGTTTGCAACAGAATGGACCGAACTATGAATGATGAGGACGCTTCTTATGTGGATTCAATGGACATGAAAATTGCAGCTGCCGGGGACAAAACAAATTGTGTGAGTGATAAAAAGGAATTCGTGAATGTTTTGACAAATGGCAAAGGATATAATCCTTACAGTAACATTGGTGGGGAGAACGTTGATCACTCAAAGGCTAACGATAATTTGAAAGAAGCTTCTAATGTACAAATGGGCGACAAAGGAAACGGAATTTTAGACCCTGATCTTGAAAAGGAAAAGGAAGTGTCATCTACATTGAACAACGACCAAGAAATTTCCGGGATTGCTCCCGAAAATACAACAAATGTGGCATGCGTGGACGTTCCAAACCCTGTTGGTGCAGGAGACACGTCAATAACAGATGATGAATTTGAAGTCATCTGCAGATATTCTGCGCCTCAGTTAGATGGAGATTTCTTAAAAGCGAATCAAGTGGAAGAAGCAATGCCAATGGACAACACAGAACAGGAAAATCCCCCGGACAGTCCTTTTGGATTGCAAGATACTGCTATTGTTGGAGCTCACATGCTGCCACAGCAGATGATGATTCTTCCACCTAGTCAAGATTGCCAAGCACCCCAAAATGGATTCTTTCAAATTGGGAACCAACAATTTTATGCCCCGTCACTACCACTTCCAGTACCACAGAACCTTTATCATCAGTACCCAAATAACCAGATGGTAAAGTATAATAGTTGTAAATTAATTAAGGCTAGAAAGGGTCAACTGTTGTTTCACCCCAATCTAGTAAAATATTTATAAAAGAGGTTTTAATCAATCCCTAAATATCTAAGTAATAATACTAATAGTATATCCTATGCGAATATTTAAAATTTTGATGCATAGACGATTGCCCGTGCATCCGCAAGATTTCGTAGACGGTAATCAAAGCCCAGCTTAAACGGAGCGGGGCTCTGGGTGAGACTAGAATCGCGGAGCCCCTACGCCAATGATGGTAATTTTGCCTGGACAACGGCGCTGTATCCATGCTTTTATTCCGAATTCCAACTGTCAAGCGTTCTTTAAGGTTCATACCAACATGTACGGGACAGTACGCTACGTGGGACCACAGTTGTTCATCCAATCTGAATGACTAGACCGGGATCGATGCCGAAACCTGCTGATTAGCAAACTAGTGCATTACTCACGGAGAACAGACTGTCCCTTGATAGTACATGTATTAGATTTTAGATATTTTCAATTATCTTTCTGTTACAGAACAGCATGACCAGCTCAGAAGAGTTATTACCCGAAGATCAACAACATCGTATCCCTCATATAATACCAATGGAGAACTACCAACACAATGGACCAATATTTTATCAACCTTATTCGACCCTGGAAAATCATCCATCCAATCCTCGTTGTGGCCCACCAGTCCCACTTCAACATCCAAATATGCACACAGTATCACCCGATTCCCCCATGTGTTATGCAAACGATTTTGAGCAAGACATGCCATTTAACCAAACGCCAGCAATATCAGGATATCAATCAGATGATATGCACTTCCCCACTGAACCAAATGAGCCATTGCATTCATACAGTGAATTCGGTGGGTTTCCAGAGCAGCCTTTTCAGGAATGGTCCGAAGGAATGGGTCGTCCAGAGTTCGAAGAACCCCAAACATTCGTTTATCCTTCAATTTACGTATCCACATCTGGTATGATAACAGTTCTATTGAAAAGCGATGTATCCGTTGAAATGACTATTGACAGGACGCTGAGACTGGTCAATCATCATCTAAATATGGCTGTAGCTACCAACAGTCGGGGAACGGCCAGTGTTCTACACACGCGCTCGGTAAAGGTGTCGCAAAATAACACAACAACCGATGCAGAGGTAAATGCCGTTAAAGCTAAGATGACTACAGAATGTATTCTATTTGGCTCCGGAACCAACTGCTATAAATTTGACTATAATTATATTGAACCTGCATTACCAAGATTTACGGATATGTCTACTGATAAATCGGTTAATCTTCTTTTCGCATCAGAGAGTTATGGGAGCACCCTTATTCAGCAGTGTCTGCATCTTGCGGGAACTGCAGAATACGAGAATCTTCCGAAGGGTGGAGTTATTATTCGAATTAATGGAATTAAAATTACCCAGACTGGAAGAGGAGATGTCACTGTCGTTAGTGGTCCGAAGTTCATGAAAATTTCTCCTAGTGTGGGATATGTACGTCTGAATACACATTTTACAGAGATGGCCGTGGATAAAGATGGGGTGCTGAGAATGCGACGTGGTGACCACACCATCAATTCATGCAATGATCGCGTCATTTTATCTAATGGGAAAATAGAGGCGGGTCTTGATAATGAGGGACAGTTAAAAGTATACACTCTTCCAAAACGTATGCCACTGGAGTTAACACGGGATCAGCGGCGACCAAGACCCGGAAATCCACGCAGGAAAGCTACAGCCCTTGGTGGAGCTTCATAACCTGTGCCTGATAATCCCTGACAGTATCATACAATTTGACCATATCTCCAGATTAATAATGTCTGTTTATTTATAAAATTTGTTTGACTCATTTTGTATTAAAGATGATATCCCACATTTGAACTTCCTTGATATTTTCTTTGTGACAGGAATGTTGTTTACTTTTTTAACTGGTTGCTTCTATCAAACACAATAATGTATCTCATCTTATCTAAGCTAAGGATTATGTATACGTTAAATTAGGCTTGTCTTTAAAATTAGAAGACAAAACTATATACAATCTCGCGCCTTGTAATTAAAGTAGCTAAGTCTCTAACTCAATAACATCCAAAGTCTTACAAGTTGAAAACGTGAATTATTTGTCAATTCAAATCAACATTGCTTTTAGATTCATTTTCGCCTATATTAAGGTTAAAAAAACAATAGACCCTTACACCCTTTAATTCAATTTACTTTTGTCCGGGAAAAAGTAGGCTTCTGATATTCAATATTTAAGACAAAAAAAAAACATTTTACCATTCGTGTACCATAGTGCGTTTCAGCGTCATTTGTGACAAGTGATCAGAAAGAACCAGGCTAGACATATTTCACAACTCTTATCTGGAGAGCATGCGCAATAGACTGGAATAACCAGACGCTAGAAATTGCCATTCGGCTGAGACTCCTCCCGTAGCCTATTTCGCTGGACGTACGTAACTGATTTGAAATTAAAGAGTCAAAACGGAAACAATTGAATGTAAATCAGTTTATACACAATCAGATTACATTATTATATGCGTTGCGACCCATTTGGGTCAATTTCTAGGTCCCAAATATTGGCGATTTAGCTCCTTTAAGTTAATTTTAATTACGCATAAAATAGGAATATAGTCAGCATTCTTAGCGCGTAGGCTATAGAAAATGCTATGGGATTGGGGCTGGGTGTGGGCGATTTTGCCCTGATAGCGGGGCTACAGTCTACTCTTATTTCACGCACCCCACGCATGCGCCTACATTGGATCTCGGGTTTTCATCCCACCTGACACCGCTCCATGCCAGACCATGCTTAACCTGCTTCTATCACTCAGTTATATCTCATGGAACGGTAACAATAGTGTTATCATTGGACACAGTAGAAAAGTGCAAACGGTCGTGTTTTATTTTTTAACCCCCATAGCGAAAAAATACTAGGCCTGGCTGTATTTAGTTTTCGAGCGATAATTAGCTACATCCGAACCCATGACGGGTCAATGGACAAAGGGAAACAACTCTAGACACACACGAGAGTAGCTTCCCTTTCCAAGATGGACGATTAATTGTTTACATTCACGACGAAATAAATACCTCATATGGATATCGATAAAAACTGAGCTTTACATACCTATTTAATGGGTTTCAGCCACATTTCAGTATGAGCGGACGCGATCTACGATCTTTTGTAACAAATTATAGATCTGCAGAAATTGGTATGGTTCAAATAAGCTTAGGTCTACTGACCCCCCGCTATTTTATTATAGATTTTGTCCCGACGTTTGTCTATCTGCCCTCGCCAACCGTGCAAATAAGATAATCTTTATTTGGAAATTATTCATGTAATTTCACTTACCATCTAACATATTAACAGTCTTTTTATTTTCTTTTTAAATACATCATTAGGCCATATCGCTAATAAATCATAATATCCGGGAAATTGTTATAATTTCTACCCAGTGAAATAAAACAAATGACAAAATCAACCATAAGTAATTTTGCGTGTATAAGTATATAGTCTACAGTATATAGTCCTTGAAAACAGACATAAGTAAATTGAATTAAAGGGTGTAAGGGTCTATTTTTTGGAACCTTAATATAGGCGAGAATGAGTGTAAAAGCACATATTAATGTAGTGTGAATTGTTTTACATAAAGTGATTTATGTTCGATTTTTTATTGTAAATTTTAATTGATATTGTTCGGCGAAATACGCGAAGAGTTCAAATTGAACAGCAGTCGTTTACACCTGATTAGTCCGTCCTACACGTTTTTCCTTTTATGATTTTATCGTTTGTGAATTAGCCATTACTAATTAATGTACACGTGGGGTTCAACAGAGAGAAAAGGGGTTTAACGTCCACTCGATACTAACCAGGTCATTTCGGGACTTACATATGGTCCAATTTTATTTCAATTTTGCCTGTGTGTAAGGGTCTTTAGCAGTGGGAGGAAACCGGAGGACCCAGAGAAAACCCACAAGATTGGACAGGCAATCCTACTCCTTGTCACGTAAAACCGGGGAATCGAAGCTACACCAGTTGACTCAATGACAGACCTTATGATATAACGCCCATGCACAAACCATTCAGCCATCCAACCCCTCTTGTAGAATATGCTTTTCTTTGTTCATCACAAATGGCACCAGAAACCGTAGCATACACAACTCATGTACTGATTTTTACATGTTCAGTATATCTTAAATATTAGATATTAGGCGTCAATATTGATTGAAATGGACCAATATTAAATTTTAATTCATGTTATTAATTTTAAATTTTATGGAAAATATTGAGTTACAGGTTTAACTCCTTTAATAGGCCTACCTTACCAAAATTAGTAGCATGAAATGAAATGGGATTGGACATTTTACTGTTTGACACCATCCAAACTAATAAAGACAGGCATGCACCATGAGGTGTGCTATGAGGAAAATATTGACAGCACTGCAGCATTTCCACCAACTCTTCATCAAATTCCAGCTGTCATGGTTTCTTTACGTCCAACTTGAAAACAGGACCTCATTTTTTTGTCCCATCCAAAGGTTTAGACATGCTGTTCCTTACATTCATTTTTCTTTCTTTATTAAAATCTTAATTTATATTTCCAGATAAATTAGCCAGGAGAGCAACTGATGGGTTGGGTAGCAACAAATATAAAGATGTTGACTATTATAAACTCAGTAATCTATCATCCGAGAAAAGATTTACATCCCATAAATTTTCTATGAAACTGGAAAAAATTGAAAAACTGTGCAAGCGTAATAAAGAGAACAATTTAATTAAACAACACAAATTATTGTGGCAAAAGGAATTTCTTAAGTTAAATCATGCTAGGAAGAAAATTCAAGCTGAAATTGATGAACACATGAGAGACAATAGAACAGGTATCTGTGCCCAGGTTTATAAAGAGTTTGAATATTACAATAACAGACTAGAACATGATTTTGAAAGTTTTAAGAAGCAAACAGCCGAACCATTATGGAATCTACGGTAAGGTTTTGTCTAAAATGAATGGAATATGATATTAATAAAATGATATATTAATATAATGATAAACTTATATAACTTTAAAATCATTCGTAATATCACCCAAAACGTTATAGTCTGGTGGCTGAAGGGGGGGGGGGGGACGGAATCGCTACCAGATCTGTGAATTTATGAGACCAAGTTTTTCTAGACTTGGTTTTATAAAGATGACCCCCAGCAATGCATATCTGGAATGAAGATTTACATTGTGAATGGGTATCTGAAGCATATCCAAAGGATATATGCAAGCAGTTGACCAGCAACTAAGTAGATATTTACCCCACTCATATTATGAACTTTGATTTTGAATCTTCTGATGGAGACTAAGAATAAACTAATATCTAAACATGTCTCTCGTTTGCTGTGTTTTTGATTTACATATCCAGATGTCTTTAAAAGTACCATTATAATTTAATATTTTGAATGGAGAAATTGGTACTAAACGAAAAAAGCTAACAAGAAGCCACTTTTAAGTTCAATTTTGAACCAAATGATTTCTGTTCCCAAAAATACATGTTGCCCCCCCCCACACACACACACACACACAATAGGAATCTTATACATATTTAGAGATGTTTCATCAAGTTCTAAGAAATTCATCATTTAAATCAATGTGAACTAATTTCCCGCCAATTTTAACACACCCCCCCCTTCACACATGCACACCTGCACCCCTCCCCCCCCCAACCAAAACCGTGCCACAAATCAAAACAGATGTCCAGGGACATCATAAACACTTATTTAGAGATGGAGAGTCCTAGAAATTTATATTTTATTAATATATAACATGATCATCATTTATGTCAACATAATCACATTTTCCCCAAATTGTAGACATTGGACCCCTCATATCTCGAAAACGCCCCCTCAAATCCCTGATCACAACCCAGATTCAAAATCTACGCGAAAAACTGGTCTAGAAAAACTTGGTCTCATAATTTCACATCTTGGGTGCCGACTCACCCCCCCCCCCCTTCTGCCACCGGACTATAATGTATGGTAGTTTTTGAAGATGATGGGTGTTTTTTTGTATTTTGTAGGGAAGATTTAGAATATTGGTTAACAGAAAATAAGAAGAGTTTATCTGAAGGACATCCTGAAGCTTTAGAAAAACATGAGGAAGTTAAATCTACCATAGAATCAGTGGAAAAACAACAAGCTGCCATATTTCAACATTTACAGGGTGAACAAATAGCTCTTGAAAAAGAACTTAATTCAGGTAGGTTTTCTTCTTTTCTCAGTCCTGTCAATCACACCACTAGTTGTAGTCTCATTTGAGATAATCTACCAGTCATTCAGTTTTCATGCTGAATTTTGAAGCAAGAGTGGTGGGCTACAGTCACTCTTAACAACATCCTAGTTATGGTCGTTGTCCATCATTATATAAAATATTTGATGTGAAGCAAATATGCTTATACAATCATTTCATGTGAAGCAAATATGCCTATACAGTGGTGCATTTTCTTATAGTTTCTGTAAAAGAATTTGCTGGAGTGAAAGTTTCATTTGTAGGAATTGATCCTATGCTTTAAAGGGCATATAGCTCTATTCTTTGGAACCTTAAATTTTGTTTTCCAACGTTAAATTTAATCTATTTTAATGCTTAAAGATACATTAGTTAAGAGTTTTATAAAGAGTTGTCCATTCTTGCTATAATAATTCAAAAATAGATGATAAAAAAAGAAAATGTTGAAAATTTCAATCAAATTACTTTGTTCTGAACAGAATTGTCACTGTTGGAAGTTTGGACTAGAAATAGGCATGAATTGTGTCTGCACTGTCTATGAGAATTGGCGATCGTTTGATTGATAGACGATAACTCCACCCACATATTCTCAATTATCAAGGAACATGCTCAATTCCTATGGTAGCCTCGCTTGGTAGGCCTTTCATCACCAGTTTCCGGTAGTGGCATTTAGTGGTCCGCCATTTATTTATTTAATTTTAAATGGACGACTGTTAAAATCCAAACTGTATCCAAGCCATCCGTGGGTCTACAGCCTTGATTTTGAACCTGTTGTGTAAATAAATGTCTAATTAATAATTTCTATAACATCTGAAGCCTAAATAAAGACTTGCAATAGACAGATTTAATTAGCTCTTGCATAATGTATGTATAAAGTAGATGAAATTGCATGTTGGAAAACAAAAGTATTTCACATTTGTGTCAGAGAGAGAGAGAGAGAGAGAGAGAGAGGGAGACAGAGAGAGAGAGAGAGACAGACAGAGAGACAGACAGAGAGACAGAGAATGGTACAATTTTATTTCAACAGTAGAAGGAAGCTGGAGAAAACCTACAAGGTTAGACAGGTGCCCCTACTCTACTTGACTCAAATGGCAGACCATATGATCTAAAGCACATGTTTTCGACCATTCAGAAACCCTTAAATATTTGTATGTACTATACATGTAATGCTACCTTTCGATTTATTATTAAATTTTATTCTGGTAAGCTTTAGCATCCTTCCTTATTTTATTACGGTAAGCTTTAGCATCATTCCTCATTCTATTACGCTAAGCTTTAGCATCATTCCTCATTTTATTATGGTAAGCTTTAGCATCATTCATCATTTTATTACGGTAAGCTTTAGCATCATTCCTCATTTTATTACGGTAAGCTTTAGCATCATTCATCATTTTATTTATAGATGAAATGCTGGATTTATGTCCCGTTCAACTAGAGAGACGTCCACACATCAAACAGGGTATACCAGATGAAGTTATACAATGTTACTGTCCAGATGAAAACTTAAAAACCTCTGTTCTAAACGAATTCCTTCATTTAGATGCCAAATATTGTCATCGTATTGAAGAACTAGATAGAAAGCATACGCTAGCGAAAAGGTATGGTATATAAAACATTTTGAAATTTTAATTGTATTGCACTATAAGGATAGCCGAAGTAAAATGGGGTTTAATTTAACATCATACTTTTCTGAACCATTTCGGCTAATCATGAAGACAGGCATATGGTATGCAGTGTTCTATGACGAACATTTCCGCCATCTTCGGTATCCCCAGTGGTATCGTTCCATTCTACTCCACTAACCCCTGGCTCCATTCACGAGGGAGACGCATAGTGAAATTATCCACCCATGATAACTGTGCTATTTTTGTTGACCAATCAAAAAATCTTCAAGTGGGCCAAGGGATATAACTTGCATTTTATTGTAACTAAAATCATCAAATCATTGTTTTAAACTTGTCAAAATAATTTAGGACATCATTTTGTGTGCATCTCACTTCTTTGACATTAAATTTCTTGCAACCCTTCTTATAAGTGAGCGTACAAGCTGCTTTGTTGTTGTGAACGTAAACAATGATGATAAGACTGGTATGTAAACTGTTTTTGGTTGGTTTGTGGCCATTGAAATCATCAAGGGAAGATAATTTGAATTCATGAAAACCCTGTGAATGGACCCAAGGGTTAGTGGCATAGAACAGAACGCTACCACTGGGGATGTCAAGTATGCATTTCCACCTTCATAGAATTACAACTATAAAGGGATCTGGGGGGGGGGGAGGGAAGACAGCTGACAGACTGACCGAACCCATTTCAATATTCCTCCTGTTAACCAGGGCCTATTTTAACGTGCCTACAGACACGGACGTGCCTCGAAATTAAAAATCTGTGCTTGGAGCATCTAAAATTCATGCTTTGAAAAGATGGTATAATGGTATGTTATGTGTCCTTGTGAATCTGAAAAGATCGCATGAGGAAATTTAGCAAGTGTGTCATTAACAATCATTGTGATCATCAATCAATGCGTTTCGATTCAATTTCGTGGATTGTATGTAAATGTCGAAAAATAAAGCAGTTGTTGACGCAAGTAGTCAGCTGCATGTTACAGTAAAGGTTCGTCTGCTTTTGGGCGTTTCTTTGGACTGCCAATGATACCGATACGCAGCTATAAATACAAATGTCAATAGTATGCAAATTTTAATTTAGGCCTCAATTTTTGACCGTTTTAGATGTTAAGGATCAAAAGATCTTGGTTGAATTCGATTTTGGTGCATCTGCTTGGATTATGACCTTACATACACAGAGCGTAACAAAGTTTGTGAGCTTTATATTGGGATGAATTGAGAACACGGGAGCAAGAATCATACCGATAATCAGCATTCCGCGACCTTCTGTTCCGGAGTTAAGCCCCCCTGGAAAACCTTGTGGAAGCGACAGGGACTTGCATTTTAACCCTGTTTTATTTTTTCACATTTGATGTGAAGCATTGGGGTCATGAGACGACAAACCCTATCGAGTTACCAAACTTTGCCAAAAACCTTGTGAACGCGATATTGGCTACATTTTCATATTCGATATGTAGCATTGGGACAATGAGAGGTTGAGCCCTATCGATTTTCCCTGTTCCCTATCCATATCTTACAGAATCTCGGCGTATCGTGTATGCCAACCGCTTGTTTTGTTTTAAAAGTGTAAGCGTGGTGATAATTCAGAAAGTTTTTATTTCACTTCTGGTGAGCCTTTGTTTTGGTCACAACTAATTTGGTCACGATTTCAGAAGGTTTGTTCCAACACATTAGAACTAATAACGGTGATGGAAGAAGCTAAATTAAGCTACCAAAGGGGGGAAACCCAGTCAAAAAACTTCCATCTCCGGAAACCGTGCTTCGTCAATAAAACCTTAAAATAGGCCCTGCTGTTAACTTCATTGGCTCGGTGTAGTAATTATATTCTGTATCTATGAATTTAAAGTCCTTTAAGATTATTTTTGATTATAAGTATTTATATTTTAGATATGATATGTGTGGTGATTGGTATGAAGATGAACATTTTATATTTCTGGCTGTGTATGACCAATATCCATGTGAATTAAACAATCGTAGAAATCTTCTTCTAGACAGACTTAAACGTCACTTACCCAATAAAACCAGACATGAATTGGTAAGGCTCAAATTTTGAAAATAGGAAGTACTTTTATTAAATGGTGGGAAAGAGAGAGAGAGAGAGAGAAAAGATGTTTAACATCAACTCGACATAAACAGTCATGTGGTGTGTTTTGGATCCCAAGCTTGTAAATGACAAGAAGCAGGGTTGTTTGCCAAAACTTGTAGAAATGAAATGGGGTTTAACGTCCTACTGTTCTGCTCCTATACTCGGCTAATGAAGACGGGCATACGTCATACAGTGTGCTATGAGGGAAATTTTGTCCGGGCAGCGGCACTATCTCCTACTCTTATATCGAATTCCAACTGCCAAGGGATCTTTTACGTGCATTCCAATGTACACACGGGACCTCGGTTTTCCGTCTCATCCGAAGGACTAGACAGCTGTCCTTGCCAGCCCCCCGTTCTGCACCACTTACAAGGGGAAACCTCGTCGGAAAATCCCGATGAACTTTCTCGGCCAATGCAGGGATCGAACACCCGACCTCCAGGCTAGCGAGCCAGCGTCTAACCCACCTAGCCACCGTGGCTCCCCCAAAACTTGTAGGTTTTCTCCAGGTCCTGCAGTTTCCTCCCACTGCTAAACACCCCAATGCACAAGCAATTTATTGAAATAAATGAAATGAAATGAAATAAAATGAAATGGGGTTTAACGTCCTACTGTTCTGCTCCTATACTGGGCTAATGAAGACGGGCATCCGCCATACAGTGTGCTATGAGGGAAATTTTGCCCGGGCAGCTGCACTATCGCCTACTCTTATATCGAATTCCAACTTCGAATTTACGTGCATTCCAATGTATACACGGGACCTCGGTTTTCCGTCTCATCCGAAGGACTAGACAGCTGTCCTTGTCAGGCCCTCCGTTCTGCACCACTGACAAGGTGAAACCACGTCGGAAAATCGGGATGAACTTTCTCGGCCAATGCAGGGACCGAACACCCGACCTCCAGACTAGCGAGCCAACTTCTTAACCACCTAGCCACCGTGGCTCCCTTATTGAAATTGAAATAAAATTGTACAGTGTTAGTCCCGAAATGACCTAGTTTATGTTGAGTGGTCGTTAAATCCCATTTCCCGTTTCATTTCTGTCTGTCAACAAGTCCTATAGAATCTTTGGTTTACTTACATTAATGCCACAAATACCCCTCATTGCATTTAGAATCTAGTTTCTGTCTTAATGTCCCTTTAATCTGTGAACAAATTCATTTTTTTGTAGATATCTCATGAAGATTGGTGGCTAGATTATAAATATTACCATGAACGACTAAGAGGTGTAATGTTAGATTGGGCTAGAGATAGAAAAGAACTTCTTAATAAAGCCTATTTGATATTTGAAGAAGCACAAATTGTCCATACTCTAGAAGAAAAGAAGTATGACCATAGAAATCACCAAAAAGAAATATGTGATGCTCTCTTTAATAAGGTTTGTTTATTAACTGTGTTCTGTGCTGAATTCTGTGTGAATAAAAGTAATTTACCTTCTTTCCTTGAGAACCAATGTATAGTCAAATATTATATCATCACAAGCAGAAGAGCTGCGGTGGCTCAGTGAGTAAGGCATTGGCTCACTAACCTGGAGGTCTTGGGATCAACCCCGGTATAAGCCGAGAAAGTTCATCAGGTTTTCCCTTGTCAGTGGAGCAGGATGAAGGGCCTGGCAAGGAACAGTGTCTAGTCATTCAGATGGGATCAAAAACTGAGGTCCTGTGTACACATTGGCATGCACGTAAAACAGTAGGCAAAATTTCTGCCATAGCACACTGTATGGCATATGACTGTCTTCATTAGCCTAGTATTGGAGCAGAAAACTAGTTCATTTTATTTAATACTTCAAAATGACATAAATTAATTAATGCATGTTGTTAAATCCTATTCTGTTTTATTTTAAACATTTCATTAATTCCAATGTCAGGTTTTAAAATGGAGAGAACAGAAGGAAGAAGCTATGAAACTTGAAGCTAAACTAGAAGAACAACATAGACAAGAACTTGTTGAACGAATGGAACGAGAGAAGGAAAGAGAAAATAATAAAAGAATGGAAGCAAAAAGCAAGGTAAATGTGGAGATAACCTTTTGATTTAAAACGTCAGGGGAATTCATTCCTGTAGAAGTCCTGTTTCTGTTTGAATATCCATATGGATCTATACTGTTGGTCATTTTCTTATTAGGGGGCTGTTGTGTCTCAGTGAGTAAGACACACTGGTTCAGAAACCCTGAGGTCTCAATTTCCAGCGGGGTTCCCTCTTGATAGTGGTGTAGGATGGAAGGCTTGGCAAGGACAGTATCTAGTTGTTCGGATGGCACGAAAGACTGAAGTCTCATGTACAGATTAGCTTGCACATAAAAGAATCCTCGACAGTTGGAATTAGAAATAAGAGTAGGCTGTAGTGGTGCATAAGAGTAAGGACTTGAACCACATTTCACTCCATTTCTTTCTCTGATTCTAATTGGAACACTTTGATATTCAATTACAGTTCTTTAATATTTTAGATAAACAGTTATCAAGAAGAGAAAGAAAGAAGAAGGAATGAAGAGAGTGAGAGAGATAGAAGAAGATTAGAAGAATTAAATCGGTTGTTAGAAGAACAGGCTGAATATGATAGAGAACGGTAAATATTTTGAATGATATAAAAGTCTCTGAATTTGATTTGAGCAATAGTTTGTAAAAGCTCAAACTCTAAGAGGATTAAAAGTCCAAAAATGATTCAATTCAATTCAGTATTTATAAAGTTATAATCAAATGAAATTCCATTTTCTATTTTTCTTTCACTTTTTTTTTTCAACACCATTGAACTTTCTGCCATATGTTTATGTATTTCTTTTAAAGAGTAAAATTTCGTAAAGAACAAGTAGATGAGAAAAATGAAGAAAGAAAACGACAGATTTTACAGCAAGAAGAGGAGGAGAGAAAGAAAGAAGAAAGACTAGAAGCATTAAGAGAAACTGTAAGACAATAATTATACTGAAAGATATATGCCTTTTAGAGTTAAATAACCAGTCATTCCACTTATGATGTTTATAACGACAATAGTGGGTTTAGGGGGTGGTTGAATGGTCTAATGCGTGTGCTTTAGATCATAAGGTCTGTCATTGAGATAATTGGCATGGTATCAATTCTACTCTTGAACGTGACAAGGAGTAAGGCTGCCTGTCCAACCTCCTGGGTTTTCTCCGGGTCCTCCAGTTTCCTCCCACTGCTAGAGACCCCTACACACAAGCGAATTATTGAAATAAAATTAAACCATATGTTAGTCCCAAAATTTCTCTCTCTCTTTTATTGAGCCAGAGTTATACTCACTGAATACCGTTCTGAATCTTATAGATATTAGCCTAGTAGGGACACCGGGGCACTTTGAACCAGTTTTTTCACATACATGGTTGTCCTCCTTCCATATCAAATGTTTTTATTAGAAGATCTCTTTACTTTATTGTATTGTTTGAAGACATATCATAGTTGCTATTGTGTATCAGATTCAATTCAATTAATTTTTAACTTTTTTAAAAAATCACATTTTAATACACTTGACCGTAATTGTTCAATGTACCCCGCTGTACAAAATAGTCGGGGCAGGTTTAACCACATAACGGGGCACATTGAACAATGGTAAAAATTCCATGTTAAACACAGATCTGAATTTGGATCACAAACCTAGTCACTTGTTTCGTAGTGATCTAATGAATATGCAAACAACCAATGTTTAGTTAAGAACAAATATCCACATATTTGACATCCATACAATGATCGAAACAAGCAGGAGTCCGGATTCCCTAGGCTCCTACAAATCGCCGTAAATTGCACTTAAGTTGGCAGTTTGGTGGGATAGTGGGATCCCAGTCAACTTTTGCAGTGAATCAAACCAAAATTTGTCCAGTATTCTGTCTAAATTTGGACAGCTTGATTTGCTGACAAGCGACTCTTAGTCAGGGAGACCCATTGTGCTCCTGTATGTCACAGCCAAGTTTCAAACACTGCTCCCATGAAGTTTTAATTCATTTTATATGACAGGCCTACCAAGTTGGATCAATTGATATTCTAATATTGTTTTTATTTTCAAAGATATTACAAATTATCAAATGATATATAAACTATGATGCACTGGGGTACATTGAACCAGTAGTTCAAGGTACCCCATTGACAGTGGTTCAATTCAATCTGCCACATCACAGTTTTATGATCAAAATTTTAAAAAATTCAAAATGGATCAAGCCCTTGTTTATCTGGATTGTAGATATGAACTGATTGTAAGTACAAGAATTTCCTAGGCTGAACAAATTATCAAATGATATATAGTCTATAATGCACTGGGGTACATTGAACCATGGTTCAAAGTACCCCATTGACAGTGGTTCAATCTGCCCCATCACAGTTTCATGATCAAAATTTTTAAAAAATTCAATATGCCCTCTATGGATCAAGCCCCTGTTTATCTGGATTGTAGATTAGACATATATAAACTGATTTTAAGTACAAGAATTTCCTAGACTAAACAGTTAACATGTATGGAAAATGATAAGTGGAAGTAGTGCATTTTCACTTTTAAGAGCTCTTTTGAAAAAATCATTGCCTAAAAAATAATTGACAGCATGTTGCTACTACTTATTGACGGGGAAATAGGTCTAAGAAGTTATCTCACGTCTGTGTAGTCTTGGGTTGCCTAGTATTATTTATAACGGATATATCCATGGTGGTTCAATGTACCCATATGTTCAATGTGCCCCGGTCTCCCTACCTTTCTGATAGTCAAGATATTAACCTAGTACCATTCTGATACTCAAAGATATTAGCCTTAGTACCCTTCTGATACTCAAAGATATTAGTCTGATTACTGTTCTGATACTCAAAGAAATACTATTTTCAAAGTAGCAAAAGCAGATTTATCATATTTGGCTGTAATGTTTGTTCTTTGGACAATTGCACATCGATTGATGGACTTCGATTTATGATACGATGTCACAATCCCTAAGATGCCTATGATGATGTTATGCTCAGTTCCTGTTTGATATATTGTAAAGAGATGTTTGAAACATAATAAAAGAATAATTCCACTGTTTTCAGGTTAGAATTACAGCAGAATCTGATCCAGAAAGATTACTCCAAAATACTGAGGTGGGTAAATACCAGTATTTGATTTTTATTTGTAAATATTTTGGTAAATTAATCAGAAATATTTTATACGCAGATATATTATTCTAGTGTGTTTTGTTTGTTTTCTTTTGCTTTAAAAAGAATATTATTATTATTAATTAGGCATGGGAGAGTCGACTAACTGAAGATGAAAATGTACCACTCGATATACAGAAACCATTATTTAATGTTCACACTTTTACATCTAATCAGGTAACCAATGTTGATATTAATTTTTTCTTATCAACGGCGGGTTGTCGGGGGTTTATGGCCGAATGGTCTAACTTTTGCTAGAAAAGTCCCAAAGGTGCTTCTCAGGTCATGTTGGAATTTTGAAACCACATGATTCTAGACGAAAGGCCTGTGTACCTTTTGAAGTCCTTCAAAGATATTTTCTCTTGCAATTCCCTGGGATTTAAAGAGGTTAGATTGCAGATGGATTCTATTATTGAAGGGAGATAACTCCATTAAGACTGAGGTTTCATAACGGAAAAGTCATTGGACTGCCAATGGATGGGTTAAGATCAGGGATGCTATTTAAAAATTTTACTTGTCAGACATTTTTAGTTGGAGTTAATAGGGGCCAGAATTATGTCACTTAAGATTTATGGCTTTTTCTCCATTTTCTTGACCATTGGTTGTTACTTTTTCAGGTCACATCAGACCCTAGAATAAGAATAGAACAAAAATTACGGGAAGCTGGTCTCCACAATTCTGAGTATGCTAGAAAAATTTTATCAGAAGTGAAGCCACTACACCCACCAAGGAGAGATATGATTTCCACTGTATTTAAAGATTGATTCATATCAAATTTATATAATGTATATAATGCTATTCTGGTGCAATGTTGTGATTGAATATTGTTTGAATTAAACATACATTATGCAAAAGCTAAATCTGCATATTCCAGTCTTTCTTTGGGCCTTTATAAATGTTATATAAACTATTAATTAGACATTAATGATTAATGTGACAAGACCATAATCAACTCTCGAATGTGTCCGATTTTAAGTACATTGTAGATTAGAACGGTTTGGCCATTTAATGATTTAATTTAAAAATGGTGGTTCAATAAATGCACACATCTGGTCAAACCTTCAAAGGCTAATATCTTCACTTAGAATAAAGTAATTTGAATGATATTTTCAATATATTCATTTTGTATTATCTATTTTTGAACTATTATAGCAAGAACGACCAGCTCTTTATCTAATCTTACATAATGCTTCTTTAATGAAATGGAAAAAACTTAATGAAATAAAAGGGGTTTTAGCCTCTTTTCTGCAACAACCAGACTAAGAGAGGTGGCCAGGCATAAGCCATGCAGTGTGCTAAGAAGGATTTTTTTCCCATATGTGGAGCTATGGCCTACTCTTGGTTTTTTTTTACTGACCAACGGTCCAAGGGGATTGGTAAGGGGTTGCCATTGGTACCCCCATTGTTTCTTTTGTCCCTGACAAGGGGGAACCAGACTGGAAAATCCAGAGAAACTTTCTAGGAACACACCAGGATCGAACCAGAGATCAGCTGTTTAGTGAGCCAGTGCCTAGCTCACTTGGCCATTCATTATATTGAGTTTTAACCATTCCTAAATATTGAGACCAGCTTGAATCCTGTCCTTGACCCCCATATCATTGTTCATGTTATAGTGAGAATTAGTGGTCACAATGAATGCAGATTTTACTTTTCGAAATGTCAAAGTCAATGTTAAACATTGATTCAATTTAAATGATCAACTTTGGGATTGTTTTCCGACATTTTCAGTGGACGCTTCCGGCAGGCCCCCGGAGCCGTTCACTTGATTTGATACATATATATATGGTTGTTGTTAATTGCTTGCAATGCTTGTGTAAGTTGTAAGTTGTCTAATAGATTTTGTGTGTGTGGTGCAGTCCTTCTGCACATACTAATAAAAATAATGAATCTTTCAAATCAATATTTACCTTCATTGTTTATTTATTTTTTTTAATATTACTGGTTTTCATTCAAATAAAATTGAATAAATGTACATTCTATTAGTCATCAACTAGCATTGAATAACAAATATCCAAAAAATTAGTTCAGATAGCCTTAAAATTGTTTCATTGATATACTGTATTGACCTTACTTTTGTCTGTCAGACCTGCTCTAGAGACGAAGTCAATATTGGGTTAGATCTATTTGATAAGGCCAACTTCAAGTTTGGTCAAAGGTCACGAGATGTAAACAGGGCTAGCGCTAAACTTAACCCTAAACCTAGCCCTAATGCTTACCCTAAACCTAACTTACAATCAGTGCCCTAACCCTAATTAACTTTATATATGGCAAACCTGTTTACATGTTTTCGGTGATAGAGGAAATAATTTTGTGAAAATAGACGCACGATTGGCTTTCTCAGGAACAGACAAAAATCCCAGAATTTTTTTTTTTTTTTTAAATAGAATCTATACGGAATCCTCGATTAAGATAGGACTATCCAACAAGAATTGTGAAAGGATGGGCGGGCTGGAACGATTGGCGACAAAATACTCCCATAAAATGTCGGTATATGAAACTATATTTCCATCGATAAATTCTAACATCAGCAGCTCCCTCCAAACTCTGAAAGTCAAATTACTCAGCAACCACAAGGACGTCATCTTTTTGTGACGTCATCATAACAACTGTAACAAGTAAGTACCATTTTAATTCTTGAAATAATGATTTAATTTTCCCCCTCGACCACCAAAAGAACAACAACAATGCAACAATATGGTACGCTGTGATTCTTACGACGGAATAGTCACTCAATTTAGTGCCTGTGCGACTTCTTGTCATGTATTTTCGCTCTAACCTGTATCCATTAATTTGTTGCCGGCAAAACGCTAAACGCCTAAATCCCCTAATCGATTACTGCTTTATTTTGTATTAGTCCGAAATCAGTAGCACGATTTATCCAAATTCACCCAAATCCACCATTAAACAACTCATTATAATTTATATCTATTTAATAATATACCATTCTTATTCTTATGCCAATTCTTGAAATTGAAATTTTTGAATTAAAATCATAGCGTTTTTGTTTCTAAAAGAACGTTACGATTTTAAATCTAATAGTGGATATGGTACATCGTGCTACTCGTTCAAATTGTCCCTGACGCAAGACATTCGTTAACTTAGCATTTGTGATACCGGTATTATCATTATATTGCCGAGCTCAACGAAACGTAAAAAAAATGCGGTTGTTTCCCTTGCATTTGGTGCCAAAAAATATTTCACACACTCCAAAAGAACGGAAGATTTTGCTTTCCATTTTATTTATAACTGAAGTCTATGTTTATTAATTACAGTGTTTTTGTAAAGGAAGACGACCCGACCCGATTCTATCAAGGCGCAATGCAGACTACAACCGATATTCCGCCAGAACTGTTGGCATCTGCAGTCAAAAAACCAGGCGATAAATCAACTAGCAATAAACCACCCAGTAGAGCAGGTGATGTGACGGAACTCCGGAACAAGTATGGCTACAACCTTCCACCCATAGCAACGCTCCACAGAATCTACGATCGGGAGCAAAATCGTAAAATGGTTTCAACCATGATGCGTTCTCAGACACCACAAGTAATACGTCTGCTTTTTACTGGTCGTCTGCCCGTCGGCTATTTTAACGATTTATGTTACGGCCAGTCAAAACTAGTCCCACCCAAAAAGTCGTATCACTATGAGCCTAAACGGGAACGTGTTTTAAACCTCTGGGAACCTAGACGAAAAGCCATTACTTCGGAAAGAGAAATCACTCGAGCAATAAATGATGCCAGATCACGCCATCGTCAGCGTTTGGACGCCATTTCGAAAAAGGCCCAAGACCATAGTAAAACTATCGAAGGTGTCCTTTTACGTCATTTGATGATCGAACCGAGAGGATTAAAATCGTACTTAAACAAATTGGAACGGGAAGCTGAGCGAATGTTAGAACAATTGGAACGGGATCGGTGTAACAGAAGCGACAGAAAGTCTACTGCGTTAGATAATTCTTCAATAAGCAGTTCGCTTAAGAGTTCTCAAATGCGAGAAGCACCTCTTACGAAAATTGCAAAGTGTCCGGTTTTAATAAAAACTACCTCCGCCGAATTACCGAAAAGCCCAAAAGTTACCATCAAAGAAAATACAAGGACGGAGTCGAACGGGGTAATTGCAGATGTGAAAGCGATTAAGATCAACAAAAAGGGAAAAGACCCCACCCCAGTAACAAGGGCCTCTGTTCCAGCAACTGTGGCAGATGCGGAAGAGCCAACTCTTCCAGATAACAAGGCGCCCGTTGCTTCGTCTGTAGATATTGGTGAGGTACCGGGAATAAACGAAAAGGGAAAAGTCCCCACCCCAGTAGCAAGGGACTCTACTCCAGTAACCATGGCAGATTCGGAAGAGACAATTTTTGCAGACGTAAAAGCGATTAAGATCAACGAAAAGGGAAAAGTCCCGACCCCAGTAGCAAGGGACTCTACTCCAGCAACCGTGACAGATTCGGAAGAGCTAATTTTTCCAGATAGCAATGCGGATGTTGCTTCGTTTGCAGATATTGGTGAGGTTACGCGAATAAAAGCAGAACAATTGTCATCGCTTACAGAAGAAACACCCACACCCACTCCCGAGAATATTACCCCGGTTTGAATGAAAGAATTAAGGCGTTGGATGATCTTGGCCATAGAGATATGTTAATGTGTAAGCAAGACAGGTGTGCAAATTGAGCCGAAATCAGTCTGGCTTCAAGTCTGGATAAATGACCATTTTAAGGAAGGATTCATTTCAGATCTTTAACTCATAATGTAAGAGTACAAATGCTTTATTTTTTTCCATCAATATATTGTCTGTATACGCAAGGATATCCATACAACCAATGGCGATAGAAGCAGAATTTGCACAAAGGTTTATAATCCCAGCACGACCGCGAAAGGCCACCAAGCAGGCGGAGGCCTTAAATATAACTTATAATGCTTCGAATTATGAAATGTTGCTACCCCGTACCGAATCTGAAATGAGTTCGTTTCTCAGCCTCGTTATTGTCTGCGGTGTATAGCCTTGGAAAAATTCAACACGAAACTTTATACATTCATCGACCTAGTATAGTAGATATGCCGTTCACTTCTCTAATTATAAATTTTTCAATTAAATAATTCTTTGTTTTTATTTGGGCAAGGGCGTGAAATGTTTATGACCCAGTCTTGTTTTTTTGTTTTGTTTTGTTGTTGTTAGTAGTATTTGTTCTGAAATCATGTAACATATCGATTATTTATTATTCTGTGTCTTTAATTTTTTCTGTGTTGTGGTGTTTTTTTGGATTTGTTTGTAATCATTTCAATAATTTAATTTTCTGTTTATGATGATTGTCAATAAGAAATTATTTTGTTTACCTTTTTCTGATTTTCTATTCCCATGAATGCGAACTTGTATTTCAAGTCGTGATTGTGGTAAGTACGGGTTTATAACTCGAAAATAGCTTGGGCATACGGTTATCGTACAATATCTGGATTCAGATTTGAATGGATCTGTGCTCAACACCTAAACCACTGGTCAGATCTGGTCTCTAAAAATAAGAGAGCAATTGTCTATAATTGGGTCACATATTATAGTCTGTACTTTAAAACTCCAAATCAGACGACCTATATTATCTACACAATGGCGGGGTGAGTGTGGAGGTGGATCATTAACCAAACAGGTCTGGAGGTTCAATCCCAGTATTTCCCTTATGGCACACAAGTAGAAAACATGACCATTGCTCTTCTTCGGTAGTCCCATTGGTGCAGATAACTATAAAACATTTTACCATTTTTCATTTCATTTATCAAAAATTATATTTAATTCACTTTCCATCTGACATATTGAAATTCCACAAATAAAGGTTCTTCTTGTGGTTCTGTTGTCTATTTCATTTGCTCCGTGTTCTTACACTTTTGAAGTCGGTATGTATGTGAGGGATATTTGTGTGTTGAATGGGAAAGAAATATAAGTACAAGCGAATTAATTTTTGTATCAATCCATGGTGTGCAGACTTTAAATCCGTTTGAGGAATCTGCTGGAATGCTTTGACGTATTTTTGCGAAAAGGAACCTGCTCCATCGAAATTTAATAACCTTTAAAACAAACACAATCACCATTTATTGATAAAATATGATATTTTTGACTAAAGAAACAAAGCAAAAAAAGAAAAAAAATCATAAATATGTTCATCCATATATATTTAGCTTGGGTGAAATAGTAATAGCACTTTTGCAACATTTAAATACTGATGACAATGAGCTGATCATAGTATCGTATAAACATTGATTATTTTAAGATAATTTTACTAGTATTTGGCCAAAATCAAGGTGAGGTGAACCCCTTGATGTCAGGCTTAACGTCCGCTTCCACCTAGGGTGATATCGCTGACAAGTATTTCCTAAGAAACTTGCAAGAAGAGCCATTCATCGGTGAAGATAGATACAAGCGATTGGGAAAAATTCACCGTTTCCATTTCCTTGGTTAAGGATGCGACCGTGCCTTTTTAGTTATGGTGTCCAACGGTGGTACTAATAACAAGTTACAAGCTCCGTCCAAAGGCGTTGCAACTGGGTACAAGTAGTATATAGGGTAGTGCCTAATCTGGACAGTTGAGGTGGATGATGATGAGTTAGTTGTATTTTACGTCCGCTTCCACCGAGGTGATATCGCAGACAAGTTGAGGTTGAGGTGGATCCCCAGAGGACTTTTTATTAGTAGTTCATCCCTTACAGGATTGGATGAAACCATAAAGGTTCCTCACACTGAGGTGAAACCACAATCTATTTATTACTATTCGATCCTTGGGTGGATAAAGTGAAACAATAAAGGACAGGTAACTATAATTCGATAATTCACTGCATGAGGCGAAGCTATAAATAATTGCTTCCTTGTATTTGATCTATGGCAAGATGATGTGAAACCATAAAGGGTGGTTACTAGTATTTAATCTTGCACATGAAGATGTTAGATAGTAAAGGGTTGCTTACTAGCACTTAATCCTTCACAGATTGCAAGAAACTGTCAATGGTTGCTTACTAGCATTTGCCCCTTCACAGGGTGATGTGACCAGTGACACCATAATGGTTGCTTATTAGTATTTGCCTCTTCACGGGGTGATGTGACCATAGTGACACCATAAATGGTTGCTTACTGGCATTTGCCCCTTCACTGGCTGATATGACCAGCGACACCATAAATGGTTTCTTATTAGTATTTGCCCCCTTTTGGGGTTATGTGACACTATAACGGGTAACTTACTAGTATCTGCACCTTCATAGCGTGATGTGACACCATAAAGGATTGATTAGTAATATTGATCATTAACATGAAGAGGTCAACCCACAAAGTGTTGCTTACTAGTACCGATCCTTCACACGGTGAAACTGTCCATGATTGGTTACTCTCGACAAATAATTCATTTAGCAACATGATGTTTTCAGTACATTAAGATAATCAATGTGAATCTAAATGAAACAAAAACAAATTAAAAAGTTATAAAACAGAAATTAAATGAATGAAAACCGGAATAAAGAAACCGAGTTAATTGCGAACTTTGTCTCTGTTCAGTAATGTTCATTTTATGTTTTGCTTATAAAGTTCAAAACGCCATCTTTATTTTGAAATCCAAAACATATTCCACTTGATTAATTATATACAACTATTCTCTCGCTCACCAGTTATTGGTTGTTGTTGTTTTGTTTTCTTCAAATTAAAAAAAAGAAAAAAAAACATTCTGGGAGTAAACAGCGTTTGTTCACATAGTAATATGGCAGGATTATCTCACAACGCGACTTTTTCACAATACAGTCGAATAAATCTGCTGGTCCGAATTCACATCTGCATTAACCGAAACGTAGCCATTGTTTCTTATCGCTGGTTTATCCTCTACTAAAGGATAACGAGTTCCTGCAGATTGATTAGTTTGTCTATTCACAGCATTCCTGACCAAAGAATTTACTGGAGTTGTCGCCACTTGATTGACTCTCTGAAAAATATTGGGAAAAAGATTCGTTAAAATGAATTAATTTTCTTTTGAATAAGTTAATCACGATTACATCAATATTAGGTCATGTAAAACTACCACAGCTATTTGAAAATCTATAGTAAGCAACACAATAAATTACAACGTCATATTTAAAAACAAATATGGCCGACATTTTCTCATTTTGAATATACGAATATACACTATTTTTTTTTTCAAACGATAATTGTGGTTATTCAGTCTTTGCAAACTGCTGTTTAAACCAACATGACGTTTGATTTATAACACTAATTTAAAAGAGCCGTGGTCTAAATTTTGCACTGAAATTCATTAATCTAAAAAATAAAAATACCATAAATCTAAACATATTTAGGCCTACTACATGTATCATACTAAAGCTATCTATCTATAAAAGCATTTTACTATTTCTATTCTACATGTTTTAAAACATACCTTTGTATTAGATGTAGCTCTCTATTAATATATAGTTAACTGTTCTATTTGGGGGTTTTGTTAATAGCAACTCTTAAAGAAACAATATCCCTTTTTTTTCACCAAGTGAAAAACATAAACAATAAATGATAAAAGATGGTGCTAGGCAAATGAACCATTTTTCTTTTTCGAAAAATGCAACGAATCTTAAATTAGCGTTACTGAAAAGTGAGCCCTCTTCCATTACTAGTAAGATGTAAGCCTATCAGTTCCAACAAACGAAATACCACACGGAGTGTGCTGCCATCTTTGATCCGCCATTGTTTGTTTTTAAACTATATATCATTAACCACTAGCATAATTAGGCGAATGGATATTTTTAGCATAATTTACGGTACGGATATATAGTCATGCACACATACAAAAGGAAAAGAAAAGAGACAACAACAGAACTATAAAAGTTTATTATTTTTCTCATGCCAAGATAAAAGATTAAAAGGAAATATGATCAAGATAAGGATCATGACATAATGTTTTTTAATAGATGGATATAAGCATATTCTGTATTAAAAGTCTATATAGATAGAATGATTTGGGTTAGTAGAAGTCAATATACAAACCATTCAACCAGAAATAAAAAGGGTTTTAAAAATCTTCCATATTGAACAAACATATTTCCGACTGATTTGTGTAATATTCTCAGGAGCGGATCCAAGAATTTTTGCCAGGTTCTTGTTAAGGAAATTTGTCAGTTGATGATGCATGACGCCATCATCGTCTCCAAATAACGTAGGCAAACATACACACTGAGCTTTTTAAAGAGAGAAATCCAACACCCCGCTGACGTCAATTTTTTATGGATTAAATGAAATGGGGTTTAACGTCCTACTGTTCTGCTCCTAACCTGGGCTTATGAAGACGGGCATACGCCATACAGTGTGCTATGAGGGAAATTTTGCCCGGACAGCGGCACTACGGCCTACTCTTATATCGAATTCCAACTGCCAAGGGATCTTTTACGTGCACGCCAATGTGTACACGGGACCTCGGTTTTTCGTCCCATCCGAACGACTAGACAGCTTTCCTTATCAGGCCCTCCTTCCTGCATCACTGACAAGGGAGAACCACGCCGGAAAATCTGGATGAACTTTCTCGGCCAATGCAGGGATCGAACACCCGACCTCCAGGCTAGCGAGCTAGCGTCTTACCCACTTAGCCACGTGATCCCCATGGATTAAATGCAAAGCATTAATTGTGATATTCATATTACAAATATCATTATCTCGCGCTTTGAATGCCTATCCCATCCCACCATTTGATGATAAAGGACAAAGCACACGACCGTGACACAATTTTGCAATTTTTTTATGTAGCTAAGAAGGGGACGGGGGGGGGGGGGGTAAGATACTTTATGAAACCTATGCTCCACAAAAACGGGTATCGTCTGCTATGTTAAGCACAAGACTTCACTGAGTCTATAAATACGTATACACTGTACATGTAGGGTCATACAATGTCTTGGCGTGGCTGGAAGAGACATGTTTTCATTGGTTGTTTACTGTACACAAGTAAGAACATAACACAGTGAGATACTATATACATCTGGGTTGGGTAAAATATAAATACAGAATTTTAAACAAAAGAAAACGGAAACAAATTCTTAAACCTCTAATTTAATTATAATGGCGACGGAATGTGACTAATGATTCTAACCAATCAATCTAAACTCATATTTGAAAAACATAGACAACGGCTAATTTACTTTCTCTCCCTTTGAAAGTTTACATTAGTATGAGGGTTTTTTTACTTCCCGAACACTCAATTCCACTCAATTAGAGTTTATTTTTGAAAAATAATTCCTGGATTCACATGGCTATAATACATTAATCAAATCAACAAAGACTTTGCATAGGGCTAAAAAATACTCTAGATAAAGTTCCTTGTGTAATTTTTATTTTTATGTGGATTCATCTATTGTTTGTTCTCATTACATAGACGTGTCTTTAATTATGATTGGAGGATGTCTTAAGTTTTTGATTCTTTGATGTCTAAATGTAGAAAATTTAAAAGACAATATGCTTTCATCTGTTTAACAGCAGAAGCATTTAATGATAACTTGTTCTTTGATCTTAAGGTTCTTCTCCACTATATATTTCAATCCATGCTTATAGCAAATAAAAGTACAGGAAGGAGCATCAGGTGTAGTAATAAGATTAACTAGACATTTCTTCTGTTACATACAGTAAAGGTAAACCTAACATATTTGACCATATTATAATTAATAGACGACACAGTACTCGTCTTCTGTAATGGTGATAAATACGGAATCAAATTAGAATCTGTTTTCTAATGTTTTAGCGTCTTTATCTTTATTGATGACTTTTTTATAGAGAAAAAGATCTCAAGATGAACAAGAACCCGTAAAAGCTGTCAGCATAATTCAGCTTAGCGACCCGGAGGAGTTACTTCCTAGTAATTCCTTCAGAACTACCTCTGTACTGCTTCTAAAAGCGGATAATTAATGGACCGAAGATACAATTAGATACCGCGGATAAACTATCATACCTAATTCAGTTTTGCAAATCCGTACCATAGAAATATCTATACCTTTGGTTTTCAGGGTTGTTTGTTGCCAAGTTTGAGCGGGTATTTTGTCACGGTCAATTTGATATGTCATGCATATATCATGGTTTTGTAAAGTGTTATTGACAGCCCCAGACATAAACAGACTAAACAAGAAAGATGGCAGAATTGTGGCCAATTAATGGTAACTATCTGTCAAAACTTCGACGGACAGAGAGGTAAAATACAATTCAAAACGGCGTGAAAGGATCGATTATATATTAGAAACTTATACCGTATCATTGACATGTAACGAGACTCTATAGACTCATAATGCAAGCTGTATAATTTAAAATGCTTATAAAGATGAACGAAAAATTAAAGTGACATCTCTCATCAGAATTTTGTGTGTCTTTATTGTAAAGAACACAAGGAACAATCAGTTGTTGGGATGAGTCGAAAAACCAAGTTCAAGAGCACACGAACCCTTGGCTATTCAATTGTGTCCGGGTAAAATTGCCCTCATGGAACAATGTATGGCGTATGCCCGCCTTCATTAGCCCAACTGGTGCAGAAGAGTAGGATGTCAATCCCCATTTCGTTGATTGCAAGAACTACACAATATCATAGTTTGCAAGGGGATTTAAAATTCCTTAATGACGATCTTCATTTTCATTATCCCAGTCGGGACAGGACGTTAAACCCCATTTCATTTATTTTACTTCATTTTCATTTCTTGTAAATGAGGACAGCGTCTTTAATTCGTCGTGGGCTTCTTCATCAATTTCATTTTCATTTTATTTCATACAGCGTCTTTAACGTATTTAATTCATCGTGGGCTTTTTCAGCAATTTCAGACTATAATTTGATTTGTTCATGGTCATTATAATATAATACTTTGAGATCAAAAAAAGTTTATAATGTGGAACAGTCGACTGAATTACGCCGAAGGGAACATATCTTTAAGAGAGACTAACCTGCCTATACATATTTCATTAACAGACGATATTTGATTTCTGAAAAGCTCAATCTCAAAACACAGCGGTGTCTCGACTACATTCGTGCGTCCACGTGAATTAATGGTGGGTCTAATCTCTTGGTCATTATTCTTTATAGACACCCCGATACATCTTTTAGTTCAGCCTTCATCAGTCTTTCTCGCTGTAACGGGAACTATAATTTGTTGATATTACTTAAATGTATGATTGGATCAAAGTCCTAAGAGGTATCTCACAGACGGATAACGGTTACCCACAAGACTCAATGACTGATCACATTAAGTGTTGTAACCGTAGTAACCTATATATAATTACACAATATAAATATATACCTCTCTCTCTGAGACACACAGATAATCAATTAACTAAGTATCAGCTAAACAAATAAGTCACGTTAAGAGATTTGAAATGATGATAGAGTATTTGAAATCGTGAGAGTTTCGATGTTGAGTCCTCTCAGGTCAAAGTATTAAAGAAAATCAGAGGAACACTGAAAAGCGGCAACGTCTTTCTGGATTCCACATGTTTATAAAAAAAGACAAGCTAAACGCCCATTTAGTTCATTAACAGAGAGAGAGAGCGAGAGAGAGAGAGAGGTTTAACGCCCACACGTCACAAACTAGGTCGTTTTGGGACTAACATATAGTTAAATTTTATTTCAATAATTCGCTTGCGCAGTGGGAGAAAACCGGAGGACCCAGAGAAAACCCACGAGGTTGAACAGACGATCCTACTCCTTGTCACATACAACTGGGGAATCGAAACCACGCCAGCTGACCCAATAATAGACCGTATGATGCAGCGCGCACGTGCTAACTAATTGGCCATACCCCACCCCTTCTCTTCAGTTCATTAATAACTAAGGAAATAGGTCTGGATAATTCTAGCTAATATTGTTAAGATAAATCTGATGGGTTTGTTTTTAGCTTCGGTTAATGACTTCAATGTATTTATTATTATGACAAATTAATTAAACATACACAATAATAAATTACCCAGCCCCGTGTTGTGACATAAAAACCACCTAAGCATGACTCCAAAAATTATCTTTTAAGTTAATCAAGCTGTTAGACAGAACGAAATCATAACCTTCATCAGGGTCGAGAGTTTGGGTACCTTATCTAGGATAATTGATGCTCTTCGATTTAAAACAGGGCTGCGCTCGATCCAAAATTATAGATTGTCAAGTTGCTCTAAATATCCGAGTAATATGAACTCATGGGACTAGTTTGGATAAAACGCAAACACAAACAGAGATATATTTTCTTCAGATCAAAATTCACCAAAAGTGGACACTTGGATAACTTGCTTCTATCAAACACAGCGTAACACGAAACTGCGCAATCTTTCACCTCTTATTTCGAATTTCAACTGTTAATGATTTTTTTACGTGTACGCCAAAGTGTACAGGAGACCACAACTTTTCGTCCAATTAGTGATGGAGGACCACTGATGGGAAACCACGCGAGAAAATAATAATCCTCGGCTTTGTTCAATTGTGTTGAAGACACACCCCTTTTGACGTGAAGATGGGGGATTGGGAGGGGCCTCATAAGTGGAATAACCTAGGGCCTCTTTTCATCTAAATCCGACACGGCACTGGGATTGAACCAAGAATATCCTGGTTAAGGAGCTAACCACTGTGGGCCCTGTTTAAGATGTACTTTAATAGGATTGTCCTTACAATAACCATAAACCCTTTGTATTTAACGACTTAACCTTGCGATAATATTTCAGTTATTAAAAATATAATCTCCCTCCCCATGCATGGTACTTATTTCCTGGAGACCTTGGTGTTCCAAACTAATCAGATAAAGGATTATCACAGATATTTGAAAGAAATTAGTGTAAGACAATATTGCATTGACGTCGTGTGTGCGATTAAAAATATTAAATGAAAAACTCCACCTGCGACCCTACTCCTTGTCACGTACAACCGGGGAATCGGAACCCCGCCAGTTGACTCAATGACAGACCGTATGATACAGCGCGCGCGTGCTAACCATTCGCCCCCCCCCCCCAATATGTATACCAGATTGATTATGTAATTATGTAACTAAGCAGCAAATAAAATTAAATTATCAACGCTGGATATTCTCTGGACTTGGATTCAATTGGATTAAAAACGGGCTCATCAATTATTGTCGCGACTAATAAAGATGGTGGTTTACTATTTACATACTAGATGGATAGAATTTCCGGTCATCATCATCTTTGTAAATACTGAACGGTCTGATAATTTTTGGGCTGGTATTCCTATTAGAGATTCAATTTTGACCATACTGTCTTTTCCAAGGGATTTTTTTTATTCATTTATTTATTCTTCAAGTAAAGGTTACAACATGACAACAATAAATATAGATATGTATATCCAGTAAGAAATATGTGCTGCACCGTATGATTGTTTAAGTGACAACAAGAAATATACTGTAGATATATACAATTTATATGAACTATGTGGTGCATTGTATGATTGGGATTGGAAATGAGACGAGAATAGAGAAGTATGGTGTTATGAGGAGACCTTTACTTTGGATAACCCATAAAGCCTGACGTATATAACATCCGTTGCTTATAAGGGATTCCTAAATCGCCCAAATCACGCTGCGAGACTTTAATATGTGACAATAATAATAGTTCAAGGGGATTATAACGAATGTGGTCCGATTAGAAAATGATTAGGAAAATGAAACTGGAATCGGTTATACACGACCACACAATAGGCTATTATAAATTAATATTTCTTTATCCTATTGTTGTGTTACCATACACATTGTAATCCGAGAAAAGGTCTTTTCATTGATATATTAGAGGATGAACTATAGATAAGGCATAATGAAGTACAGTTGTAATTCAAATTACAAAAAGGATTCCAGATTTGGATACTGAGTAATCAAACACGACCGAACTGTTTTATAATTTATATGTAGAAAAAAAAAGTTAATGAATGATACAGATTCTGAGTAATCAAACACGACTCAATTGTTCATAAGATGTCTTATTAATGATTCAGATACTTAGTAATCAAACACGACCGAATTGTTAATATGTAGTAAGAGATCTAATTATAAATTTGAATATTGAGCACCAGTAATCAACACGACAGATCTATTTATATGAATGCAGTAACGGATCTTATTAATGAAGCATTATGTAAGATTTTGATAAAGAGATTTACTTTCTTGCTATAATCGTTCAAAAATAAAATGATAAGAAAATTATTTTTATTTATATTGGCTTAAAAACACATTATGTAAGATTTAGATAAAGAGCTGTCAGTTTTTGCTATAATAATTAAAAAATAGACAATGAAAAATAAATATATTGAAAATGTCAGTCAAGCTACTTTATTCTAAGCGCAGTTCTGATAGCCTGGATTGTTAAGTATTATTGCTGTAATAATAAACAGAGTCTTGGTTATCTATTTTAATGTTAAACAAGCCAACAGTGAGCCTGATGTCCCCGTCGATATCCCAAAATAAATAGATGACGCATACTAATTGATTGCACATTTATCGAAAAGTAACGAGCAATCAAACTGATTACCTAAGCAGAATCAAATTCATCGAGCTCCAATGTCTCGAACAATCAAATTGCTTATCGCTCTCCTTACCCTGAGCCGAAAATGCTCACTATCGAACTTAGTCAAGGTATTAATATAAAGAAACTATAGCCACTCCCACTCTCACCTAATTACAACCAAAGCATCAACCAATCAAATTGCTTATCCCTGCTTAGCCTAAGCAGAAAATGCTCACCTTCGAACTCCACTAAGGAATTCACCTATAAACACATACACCAAATTTGAACATTCTAGCTCAATTAGAAGGAACGTTATTGAGGTCCCAAAACGTGTGACGAACAGACAGACACACGTCCGGACGGACGGACGGGCCCATTTTAATATAGTCTTCGAAGACAATTATTAAATGGTGCAGAGTTCTAATCCATTTAATATTTTGGCCATATGGTGATCTTGAGAGTTGATTATAGGTTTTCATGTGAATAAATGCATCATTAATAATTTATATAACATCTGAAAGCCAGAAAAAAGGACTTGCAAAAGGTGGATTTAGCTCTAATTGCATAATGCATCTTTAATGATGTGGATATTGAGTAACCAAACCTAATAAACACACCATTTTTCTTTTATCAACATCACATAACGGCTTTCATTGTTAATTACTGGATAACTGGGTATCACGAACAATTATTTAATTCACCCAGTTCTTTTGATGATAGTTGTTTATGGTATGTGACGAGACATATGCTATATTTTCTTCTATAATCCAATAACTAATTGGAGGACGAAAGCTTAAATTACGAAATCAATCGTCTGGAATGAATAAAATAAGTGTGCTTTGAGGTGGTATGTAAGTTGTCTTATTTAATTTCAACTGCGATGTTAATATGTATATCAAAAGCTAAAACTATTTCATAGTAATATTTATAAATCTGACAACCATAGTTTATAACTATATAATCTGACAACCATAGTTTATACCTATATAATTAGTCGCGGCTTACAAGTCGAGAATTAGCAATAACAATTTCACATTATATGTATAGTGAGAGACAGATGGGGTTTAACGCCCATTCAACATAAACTAGGTCATTTCGGAACTAACAATTAGTTCAATTTTATTTCAATAATTCGCTTGCGTACATGGAGTTACCACTGATATGACATCTTACAGACTGAGGTGACAGCATGCTTATAATTTTGTAAACACCTGGGACCACTTTCTACTATTCAGTGCGGATGAAGAAAGGTTTAAAGTCGATGGTTCAACTGTGTAAAATTGGTATTTAAGGAACGGAAAACCTGTGACAATTCAATATAAACTTGAACCTTTGAAGATTCAAAAGCTGGACCCAAAAACCCCCAAAGCCTTCATCATCCACATTCTCCACAGTCTAGGCCACTAACTATCACAATAGTTAACCAAATGCCAAGGGATATAAAAAAAAGCAATTAAGCTCGGTATTCAACTGAACGTACAGGTGAAATGTAATTCTGGCCAGTGACTCCAAATGATCTAATAAATTTGTTTGAAAGTGTACTTTCTTAGCAACATATAAGCTCACATTCTTACCGTGTACTTAAAATAAACTTTGACAGTTTGAATTCAATGGATGTCCTTTTATATGTCCGTATTCATTATCATGCTGGAGCAGAAAAGTAGGAAGATAAACCCCATTTCATTCATTCATTCATTCGTTCCTGCATTCTTACTTCTACAGGTTGTATACAAGGTCCAGCACTTATGCCTTTTCCATTAGGACTGCGTGCTGCGACCTTTGCTGTTTATGATGCGTTGATCATATAGTTCAGCACAAATAGGTGACATAGGTGCATTTTCTTTCCGAGATAAATCATGATTAAGATGACAAGATGAAAAGGTTTAGTAAAAACTAGGATATGGACTATCTAAGCAAAAGCATTCTTTCAAAAGATAGTAGTAATACTAAGAAAGGTGACAGTAAGGCTAAATTATACAAGCAAATTGGATATATCAGAGTGAGGGTGTACAGCACGTAAGTGGAGTTTATATAGGAAGAGTTAAAACAAAGAATCAAGAACCTCAAACTCAAGCAATTTGAAATATATAAGAGCAATGGAAGTTTTGGGTTTGAGTAGCACAAGATTCATGCTATACCTGGGACCCAGAGGTGTGGGAAACTTCACTGAACGATGTGAAGACACTGAAAGAGCGACTCATTCTGCGTAGACTGGAGGCTCGAAATGTACGGTGTTGACGATATCTTTGCCACAATCTGCCAAGAGCCGCTCGAACCTAAATAAGGTAAAAACCATAAACGTGAGGTACTAGTAAATTCGGAGGTCGAAATATATTATGTGATATGGTGCAACGGAAGGAAAGGAGGAGGAGGAGAAGACTTAACAATACAATGGGACAGAGCTTTGGAAATGATGTATTCATGAGATGATTAACCAGCATAGCGGAAATCGTTAACTGACTTTATTAACATTTAACAATGACAATTTATAATAAACCATGTTCAAGAGACTGCGGTTCTTATTTGCGTTACCCAATTTCTGACTCTGTTACTCAAAGTGTCTCAGTGATTTGACTATAGCTTTTCATTAAAACTGTAATTTTGTTTCCAGAAAGTGGATTTCAGTACACATACATTTCTTAGTTTTAGAAGGCAGAGAAATTCGTGTACGTAACAACTGTTCTAGAGAATTACAATCTTTGGCCTTGGAACGTCTCTGAATTTGGTAACGCCACAGTCTTTGATTAAGTCAGTTAACGTTCCTGGCCTACCTTGCATCTTCAGCATCGTATAGCGACCACCGTATCTCTTATCTACTTGCATGCAACAAAATAATCAATTTTAAAAAAAGACTAAACATAAAAAAGCCTAAAACTTACCTGTTACAGCATGACTTATTAACCTACCCGAAATGATGTCAATTATTGTGAACAGTATTTTCAGATTCTAAAACTACAGATCTAGGTTTAGCTTAGGGAAGGATGGATTTGCAATGACTGATTCCAGGAACTAAAAACCGATCTACCTAAAGTATGGCCAGTACTAGTGCTCTTCTGTTACGTTTTAAGGTAGCATTTTCCTACCCCTCCCCCCCTTTGCAATATAAAAAGTTCTGCGGTTGTATGGACAGCGAATCAGCTCAAAGATATTATAATTCTCTATTTATAGCCATTTTCTATAGTGAATAAATAACAATGGGCTGTGACATGATGATGTCACAAGTGAATACCTAGGATTGTCTCCATTGCAGAATTTGAGAAACTTGTCAACATCTTGACATTGAAATGCATTTGTCACAAGTCGGGCTTGCCTTTCTTATCGGAATACGGAAAAGTCGAAGAAGACTCTCGATTGTAACAAGGCCAAAAAAAGGGCCTGGAATCCGCCATTTTAGTGTCTCTACCTGAGTTGTTCGCTTGTTCGATTACTCCCATGCTTGTGCCCACAACATTTATACTAAAACTGAATTCTGCCATTACTGAAACGACATCTACGATTGGCTAACACATGCTTGGGTAATATGGAAACTCGCCACCACATAAGTGTGTAATACCTGTTTACTGCCAAATCTCCACGCAGTGGAAAATTCTATGGACACCGGCGGATGGTTATAATGATGTGTAAAATGTCTCTTCAATGCATTTTGAACCTTGAGTGCCAAGAGAGAGAGAGAGAAAGGAGTGAAATAGTGAGGTTGATAGGGTGTGAACAAATCAATAACAATGTTATAAATATTAATGATATACACAGATGTATGTAATTCATAAGTAAATATACCTTTTTACACAATTTAACAAGAAAAATTATAAAATAAAAGTAGCAAATAATATATATATTTAAATAGAGGTAACAAAACTTCAGCCAAATTCTTAATCAATTTACATTCAAAGATGAAATCATTTAAAATTTCTAAAAAAACCCCCATTTATTCAATTTAATTTCACTCTTTGATTGATTGCTCCCTTGTAATGGATGACCAGGTCCACCACCCCTTCTTCACACTACTGTTTAAATCCGCAAAATTAATGCTATGGTTTACTAAGCACAGTAGTGGTTTATAAGATTTCCGTGTTTATTGTGAGCTTCCTGTAATTCTATTCTTTGGAATGATTAGCCATATAATATTTCTAATTAAAAATATTCTTCCGGTTCACATTACATGAACTAATTAACCCTAAGGGAGCATATTTTTAAGAGATACAAACTTTCTGTCTTTCTGTGAATGGGTTTCCAATTCATTTAATCTTTTCAACATTCATAAATGTTAACATAGGCATCAATAAAATAAGAAAAACGTTTTGGAAATGTGTTAGCAGGAACAAATTCAAGAAGCTTTTTAAACTAATCTATACAAAGTACATCATACGCAGATACGCATAATAACTAGACCAGTGGCCTCACAATTTTAAAATTCCAAATTATTAACAAATGCCTAATTTCAGGTCAAATTAGAATCAAGCTGGGCATTATTTTTTTTTCGATCTCCACCAAAAAGTAAGATATTTGTAATTGCTCAGAAAATCCCAAAAGGTAATGAATCAGAAAAAAATGTTAAATAATAATAACATCCAATGCTAAATCATAATTGATCGATCAAAATTTAAGTTCAACAGAGCCAGTCCAAACTTAAGTCTGTCTGGGGGATATCCCAGAGGTTTTTGGTTATTGTTTTTTTTTCTCGTTTTGTTTTTGTTCTAGGGGGCTGGGGTAAATAGTCCACTCTACACAAACTAGGTCATTTCCAGACAAATACTAACATGTGGTACGTCTTTATTTCAATAGTTCCTTGAATGTAGGGGTCTTAATTAGTAGTGGTATGAAGTTGGTGGACCTGGAGAAAACCAACGAGGTTGGGCATGGGACCCTATTCCGGGTAACATACAAGTTTGGGAATTAAATCACGCCACCCAATACCTCGCAGGTATTTAAGCATGTTTTAGCAAAACTGACATTTGGGCACTTTGAATACACGTGATCACAGTGCCAGATTTTTCCTACCGAGAACCATTCAAATTTGTGAATGATCAGAATGTATGTGTTCTCAAATTGGAGACTTCAAAACAGTAGCCAACAGCCATAGATTTATTGTTGGGATATCAAGTGCGCGCAACTATTTATGATTGGCCGTAGGGGAAAACTTTCATATTATGTTATTGAACTTTAGACAAATCTATTTCTGTGAATGTATAAATGGAAAACGACAAAAACAAAGGAATCCACCTACCTCGCCATTTAAAAAGCAATATATCAACGATATAAAGAAACCTTCAAAAGAGATTAAGAAATGAGAAATGATGGCCCAGCATCCAAATTTTACCAAGTCATCGGGTTGCGGTTCTATCATCACCACAAAATTTGTTATACCTAATAAAGGCAGTAACACTATGGCCGCTTTAACTGCTTTCCTGAAATTAAAATAGAAATTTAATAAGCAAAGAAGATAAATAACTCGGTTGCTCATTTCGTAACAAGAACTCCAAAAATAGACAATCTACAGATAAATAGGGCATTTACATTGGCTTAATGATGCATTATGTAAGATTTAGATGAAGTGCTGGTCATTCTCCAATAATAGTTCAAAATCAGATAATGACAATTCAATCTATTGAAACTTTCAGTTAAATTACTGTATTCTGAGCTAAGTTATGAGTGTTTGAAGTTTGGACAAGAAATAGCTGTTTTAATATGAGACCATCATGTGAACAAATATCTACATGATAATTTTAAACCAGATAAAAAGACCAGAAATAGGAAGACTTAGCTCTTGCATAATGCATCCTTAAATCGGAAGCACAAATAAACAGAACATGGAATTGTGCAACTAAAGCCAGGCAGACACTGATTCAAATCGACACTAAGCAGAAACACAGAAACACAGCACCGTTTAAAAAGTAACACATAATGAGACACACCAACTGTCATTTTGATGTCACAAGTTTTAATAAATATTGTATTACTGATGCATGGAGAACTTCCAGACAGTAACAAAGGAAATTATTTCAAATATTCACGCTTTGCAACATTTCCCAGTCCAATAAATGTTGAATAATGACAAGTCTTCCACCCGTAATGAAAAATGTTATTACTTTATAAAATCTGATATTTCATATGACACACGCTAAGGAAGATATAATTAACTAAAATCGGGTTCCAGGCGATGGTAACATTGTTAGGAGCATAAACTTTGACATACGGGCATGTTGTTTTTGTTTTTGTAGATCGTTCAGTGGGATTAAACTCGACTCACAAGCGCCATGACATGTTTCTTGCCACCTTGGTGAAGGACGCCACAGCAGTGACTGACCGGACAAAGATTAAAGGTGTTACGTATCGTAAGCCTATTTATATTACAGGAAATTACGTCACGCCATAACCTAGATTGTATATGCCCATCTTCTGGTCATTATCCTGTATGAAGACCTGATTAACTACTGTCTTCATAGGCATCATTATAGAAACACCGTGGGGGGGGCAAAGGACATGGAGAAAACCATGCAACGAGGCATACAAACAATAATAGGTTAAACATACATTATGCAAAAGCTAAATCTGCCAATGGCACGTCTTTCTTTAGGCCTGAAATGTTATCTAAACTATTAATTAGACATTAATTAACTTATTCAGACCATAATCAACTCTCGATGGTATCGCTAGCCTGCGATATTTTCTGCTGCTTTACGCTCATTGATAATTAAATCCAAAATGGATAATCGAGAGTATGTTTTTTTGTCGTACCGACTTTAGTAATGATGATCGAGGCTTGACCCAAAATTCAATCGCTAATAGCTCTGTTCAGAGTGGATCAATTTGACTGAAATTTTCAGCAAATTGCCTTTACATTATCTAGTTTTTACCTATTATAGTGAGAACTGCCAGCTCTCTATCTAATCTCCCATAATGTATCTTTAATGTGTGTGAAAAGTACCATTAAATGAGATATCATCAGTGGTTCCTGCGACATATCCCAGAACCACTAGATGGAACCCTATTTTAATATTCACACACTTAAAATATATGTGCATTATAACCAATTTTTTTAACATATTAATTGATTATTTAATTTTTAAAAAAGCAATCAAAATATCAACTCTAGATAATCTCTAGGGCTTGGATTCAATGGGATAGTGTAGACCATATCCTATATATCGTCTGAATAATGAATATTGACATTCAAACCATCGAATGACGTACAGACTCCCTTCGCTGCAGGATAATAAATGAGAGATTGTGATCGTTAAAATATTATTAGGCTGTATTCTCATTAGATTTGACCAGAAATCCATGCACAAGTATATGAGAACCAATACAAATGACCCACATAAATATTCCTTCTCAGTGATCTAGTTATCCCACACCATTGTACAGGAAGCCAGATACCAAAAATATTATCTTTTCCGGCTTAAATCATATACAACTGATGCTAAAATGGGTTACTGAAGAGCTAGCAGGCTTAGTTTTTACTTACCGAACTCTGTTGGCTTCATTCGTATGTGTTTCTCTTAACTTCATTATTAAAACACGTATTATGTTTAGCAAAAAGAACAAATTTACCTAAAAGTAAAGAAAATTTCATACTTGAAGTAATTAGACTCTAATCCTAAAACACCACAATATTTAGCATTATAAAAAACATGGAAATCCTATATATACTCTTCAAAAAAAGAAACGCATAGTGACATTTCGTCGTCGGCATAACCTCGCTCTACCTTCGCCTCGTTGCAACAGGAACCGCGACTCGTCGTTGAACCAAACTGTTTACTAGCGTTGCTGTGGTTATACCCTGTGTGTCTGAACCCATTGAAGTCGGATTTGACGGTGTCGGCATATTTCAAAACAACAGCTCTAACGGGACGTCTGGCTCGTAATACGGTTTCACGCAGGCGTCTATGGACTGTCTGGTCTGAGGTCCTACGCCGTCAAGGATTTGCAGCTGCAGTAGAGGTCGCTGTTGTGAACCGTTTCCGCAAATAACATAACCGGATGTTATGTTATGTTATGGAGTCACTCTAGTTTGGCCTGAGCCTGGGCGGCCACGTGTTGAACTTCGCTGTGGGTACCTATCCCAAAGGCGAGAAATGGTACTCTGGGAAACATTCAGCAGCCTCGCTACATCTGTCTGGTATTCACCTGCTTGTAACCGACCCATAGCGTTGTTGCGTTGGTCTTCGTACAGATGTAGCATCTGTTTACATGTGCAACTGATTTGGAAACCGAGAACCCCGAGATTTAAAAGGCCTTAGATTTGGGTTTCATGCGACAAGCTTGCGAAGTTGTTAGACTCATGTGTCTTAATTTGGTGCCATCCAGCAAAAACAAATTTCGGCAAAAAGAATGACCAGTCACAATTAATGGTCGCCTGACAGGCTGCACCTAAATGAGCTCTCAGTTTTAGCAGTTTTTATACTGCTTTGGAATTATTAGTGTTTTTCAAACTCTGTATATGTGTTAATAACAGTATCAGGATTATATTGTGTGATTCTCAAGTTAATTTGGAACATATTTAGCTATGTATCAGATCTTCAATGTTTTGGTTATTTGTTTAATGGTTAATCTGGCCATTGTGGGCTATTTTTAGACCTTGTGTTTTTGTTGGATTATTAGCAGCTCAGTGTTAATTAAATCTACTCACTAGTGACAAGTTTCATTAGGTCAGCAGAATATGTTTATGTGATGATCACCTACTCACATCAACAACTTCTCAATTACAATGTATTGAGAAATAAACTTTCATTTAATGATTTTTCTATAGTCAAGAACTTTGGTATTCTTAAACGTTTTCGGGGAAATAGAGCTGGCCGAAGAAAGAAAGTTAAAGTTCAAATCCCTTCGCATAAAGAATATGGTCTAAAACATGGGGGCAGGAAATTACAACGTATCATTCCCGTTGTCTTAGGTATTTTCCCCAGAATTCATTCCGGAATTAATCTACGCTCAGTCAATAGTCAAAACCTCGCCAGAATCAAATGCCAGCCAACATTTCTGATTGAACATTGCCTCAATTTTACAGTGTGGAATGCCAGGTCTCTCAGTAATAAAATTCCTGCAGTATGTGACTCTGTTCTTTCAAACCAAACAGATATATTTGTGCTTACTGAATCATGGGTTACTGAACGGAATGGAACTGTTGTTGATGCCGATTTTATGTCATCGATTAGTGGTTTTAATGTACATCACGTGCCACGGAATCGTCGGCGAGGCGGAGGAATTGCACTCCTTGTGAAGTCAAATATCAGTATCTCGATGAATAAGTCGGATTCTTACCAATCGTTTGAACTCATGGATTTAAATATTCGGGTTCGACACAATTGATCATGATATTCTTAGCCAACGTTTGCAAACACGTTTTGGATTTGGGGGAGCAGTTCTGGATTGGATAAACTCGTTCATTCGGGGTCGCACACAGAGAGTTAGTATAAATCTGAATCTATCCGATGAGGCAAGTCTGGACTACGGTGTACCCCAATGTTCAGTTCTCGGGCCTGAGCTGTTCTCATTGTATGTTTCCCCACTCGAGGATATAATTGTCAGGCATGGTCTTCATACCATGATGTTTGCCGATGACACCCAATTGTACATCTGCTGTGAAACTAGGATGGTTCACACTGTTCAAGCTTCTATTGAGACCTGTGTAGACGAAATTCGGGATTGGATGCGAGCGAATATGTTAGCATTAAATGATGGGAAGATGGAGGTTATCTGGTTTTCGTCCAAATACAAGAAGGCGGATACGCGAGTCAGCACTACAGATGTACGACTACGAATTGGTGCAACAGAGATCAGTCCCTCAGACCCCGTGCGTGACCTAGGAGTGATGTTTGATACAGATGGAATGATGGCGTCACAAGTTTCCAGTATGTGTAGTGCGGCCTCGTTTGGCTTATGGCGAATAGGGAGAATTCGAAAACTATTGGATCAGCCTTCTGCTGAAAAATTGGTTCATGCTTTCGTGACCTCTAGGTTAGATTTCTGCAATAGTCTTTTACATGGCCTCCCTAACACAACACTGAAGAAACTTCAAAGAATTCAAAATTCTGCAGTCCGGCTTGTGACTCGGACACGTCTCCGTGACCATATCAACCCGATTCTTCGAGACCTTCATTGGCTTCCCATTGTACAAAGATGTCGCTTTAAAATTTTATGTTTAACCTTTAAATTAATTTTCGATCCTTCCGCACCTGTGTATTTAAAAGAACTTATCTGCATACAAACACCGAAACGTTTAACAAGATCATCAGAAGCTATCAGACTCAACTTGCCAACTATGAAGTCCAACAAAACATATGGGGATAGAGCATTTATGCTGAGTGCACCAAAGGCTTGGAATGAATTACCTGTTACAATTAGAAATACTGAAAAATATGACTCCTTTAAATCGTCGTTAAAAACATTCTTGTTTAAAGAATATTACAATCAATTCTAAATGTTAAGTAATGTTGAAATAATTTACTTCAACTTCTACCCACAACACTGTAAAGCGCGTTGAGATATTATTTGTATATTGTAATTAATATATAAATTAGACTTACAGCTATAACAGTAACACGGGGAGCTTCTATTATCCATATTATAGGCAAATAATAATAGCCATACCAACATCTGAAAACAAAATATAGGTTGCCAGGCATAAAAAAAGACAACTTTCAACTTTATTCTTTTCAAATCTTCTTGGTTTGTACTGCAAACCAAGCTTAAAACCAATAAGTTTTTTTGTTTTGATTATGAGAATTTCATGTGAATAAAAATGCCCTGCAACAGGCACATTAGATCTTGCATAAGGCCCCTTTAACCTTAAATAAAGTCCGAAATTCACTGAGCTATTTATTTGTCTGTCTAATCTGAACGATACAAAACAAAAGATTGGATGATCACTTTAACAGCTAGGTATTCAAAAATTTTGCTATGGTCATGGGTAAATAACTCTATCGTTATTTATGGGAAAACGTGGGAAAATGACAGCCATGTCCGTGTCAATAATACTTACAATGAACATATGACCTTTAAAAAGATCTGACTCCTGCGGCCTTATTCTTGAACACTTAAGCTTAACTAATTTATGAATCAGCATTTCCACCGGTTGAGACAGACAGAAGGCGGGGTCATTATATATGAACACTTTAAAAAATATATATTATGTAAGATTTAGATCAAGAGCTGGTCATTCCAAAATAGTGAAAGATGACTATGTTGAAATTTTCATTCAAATTACTTTATTCTGAGCGAATTTAAAGTTAGTATTTGAGGTTTTGACAATATAGCCTCAACTGTCAGGTACGATTGCTACGCTAATAAACCAAGTCTCGTTTATCCATTTTAACGTAAAATTATTAGGTGTTCTAATCCATCCATATCACGGCCATCCGATAATCTAGAGGGTTGATTGTGGGCATGCCATATGAATAAATGCCTAATTTAAGATACATTATGGGAGATTCGGTAACGAGTTGGCAGTTCTTACTATAATAGTTAAAACTAGATAATGTAAAGGTAATTTGCTGAAAATTTCATTCAAATTGATCTATTATGAACCGAGAACTAAGCGACTGAAATTTCCCCCTAGACTCGGTCATCATTACTAAAGTCAGTACAATAAACAGCATAGTCTCGATTATCCATTTAATCGTTAAATCGAGAAGGAAAGTTATGCAGTAAATCAGCTCACAATCCACTAAAGATCGCAGGCTAGTGCTGCCATCTAGAGTTAATTATGACCTGGATAGGTTAATTAATGTCTAATTAATAATTTAGATAACATTTCAGGCCTAAAGAAAGATCTACAATAAGCAGATTATAAAAATCCTGAACACTACGAAACTCTGTGCGAAATGATACGCGAATGTAAGAAATAAAAAAATGGCACTGTTCATTTCAAGTATGGAAGCGAGAGAGAGAGAGAGAGAGAGAGAGGGAGAGAGCGAGCGATAGACAGAGAGAGAGAGAGAGAGCGAGAGAGCGAGCGCATAGAAACCATTGCTCTGTGACTAGTGTCATGCAGATGGGGTTTAACGTCCACTCGACACAAACTAGGCCATTTCGGGACTAACATATGGTTAAAAATTATATTTCAATAATTCGCTTGCGCGTATAGGGATCTTTAGCAGCGGGAGGAAACCGGAGGACCCGGACAAAACCCACGAGGTTGGACAGGCGACCCTATTCCTTGTCACGTACAACCGGGGAATCGAAACCCCGCCAGTTGACTCAATGACAGACCGTATGATACAGCGCGTGCGTGCTAACCATTCGGCCATCCACCCCCCCCCCCCCAAGTCTGGAAAGTATGGAAGCAACAGCAAATTAATTATCTTTGTGTAGATTATACAAGTTACACCATAGCACGCTGTAATGTGGATTCTTGTTATGTGTTATATTTGATTTATCTAAATATATTATATCTGATTATATATGACACGACAATAAAAACACAAAGCGGCCATAAAAACCTAACAATAGATATTAATGTGTATTAATATATCAATTACTTTTTTAAAATTCATTTAATGTTTTTTGGGGGTTTTTTGTGTTAATTTTTTTTTTGTTTTTTTTTTTTGCATCAAATGTTATATAAATTATAATGGTAATATGGTAATTAATCATAATCTACTCTCTAGACTATCGAATATGGAATATGGACTAGAACACGCTTGCTATTTAATAATTTAAAGATCAAATAGATAATCGAGACGTTGCCTCTTATCGTATTAATAGTACTATCTTCTCAAAACTTCAAACATTTATAACTTCACTCAGAATAAAATAACTTGACTGAAATTTTCATTATCAGTATATTAAAGTATATAGCAATCTTACATAATGCATCTTTAAGATATATACATCAACGTTAATATGTGTAGTATCTTTATAGATGACTTCCTGGAATCATGGTGAATCAGTGAGTAGGACGTTGGCTCACTAACGAAAAACTGAGGTTCCGTGTACTCATTGGCATGCACGTAAAAGAACCCTTGACAGTTGGAATTCGATATAAGAGTAGGCCGTAGTGCCGCTGTCCGGGCAAAAGTTATCTCGTGGCACAATACATGGCGTATGTCCGTCTTTATACGCCCAGTAAGAGCACAACAGTAGGACGTTAAAACTCATTTCATTTCATAGATGACGTCCAAGTAAAAACTAAATTATTAAAACTTACTGTACGTGATGGGTCTGTGCCATAGGAATAGCCCAGGCTATGGTCAATACCATTGGTAATCCTGGAAATATATATAAAAAAAACCCAAACCAATTAATTTTCTTGAAAACAAATTGCACCCGATTTAGAAGCCAATAGCCAGGTTGTTTTTGTTTTAGATAGCCGTGTCTATACCTTGAAAAGGGTGGCTTATATCTGAGTTTTGGGTGGAACAAAGAAATTGTATTCGATTTACTGCCTATTTAAAGGCGCTATAATACCTATTTGATTTACTAGGTCAAATAACGTATATAATTGGATTGATCTGATGTGTAATTTCGACTTGTGATGAAGCAAGCTCTATACGATTAAATTGTCAATCCAATCACCACAATCCAACGAAAGCGACACTTTTGCGATTTTATGTCAAAGTTTTGTTTTCTTAAAGAACCCTTGTATGACAAACTATCCACATTCTAGATCTTAATATCACTTAGTTCTCGAGATGTCACAAACTGTGAGAGTTCTAGTGCACTATTTATGAATGATGTTTATAAATGGTGAAAAGTGTTATCTTAAACTCATGTATATCACTCTGTATATATCACAAACTGTATCTCTTTGTATTTTAGATATCGCAAACTGTGGGAATTCTAGATCTTAATATCTCTTTGTATTCTAAATATCACAAACCGCGAGAATTCTAGATATCACAAACTGTGAGAATTCTAGATTTTAACATCACTTTGTATTCTAGATATCACAAACTGTGAGAATTCTAGATCTTAACATCACTTTGTATTCCAGATATCATTCTGTGAGAATTGTAGAATATCACTTACGGTAGTATTCTAGATATTATAAACTGTGAGAATTCTAGATCAAGTGCACCATTTACGAATGAAGTTTATAAATGTTGAAAAGTATGACGTCAAACGCATGTATAGAAATCGAAATGTAACACGCTGTAAGAATTTATTATTCTAGATATCACAAACTGTGAGAATTTTAGATCTTAACATCACTTTGGATTCTAGATATCACAAACTGTAAGAATTCTAGATGTTGAAATATACATTTTCAACTAAACCTAATGACAACTCCCTTTGTTAAATAATTGATTCATCTTTCATATTTTTTTTACAACATTACAACGTGATTAGACAAAAAAATTAAAGTTATTTGTCAAATCCGTGTTAGCAAATTTTTTTTTCAAATAATCAATACGAAGTTATGTAGCTTTATTCTAGTTCAACTTTAAAAAAATATTCTGGTTAACGTCCTACTAACATTAAAAAAGTATTCGGGTTAACATCCTACTAACATTAAAAAAGTATTATATTTCACGTTAAAGAGCCAATATACCATAATAAGAGAAAGAGAAAACTGTGTTCAATGTCCACTCGACACCAACTAGATAATTTCGGGACTAACATATGGGGTTTAGTGTTGTTTTGGGGTGTGTGTGTGGGGGGGTGGGGGTACATAAAAATAAATATGAAAAGTTAAAACGGAAATGCTGTTGACGCAATTTACTACTGTACAGAATGTCGCTTTAATCGACATATTTCCATCAATCTGATTCAGGAAGTTGGAGTAAAATTATATTGCTATATTAAATAAGGAAAGTCTAGATTATCCACGTCATTATAGTCTCTAACACACATGACATATATTTTATATGTCAAAACATCAGACCGGATAATGCATAGACTGGAAAATTACAGACGTTTCAGTATTTTTTTAGAAGTGACATAGAAAAGAATATACTTGATTAAATGCGCTCAATGCATACTTACGGGCGACTAAATAAAGAATGCAAAACTTCTTTGAAGATTGACCACATTTAGAAATTGATATGAATTAATTTTATTGGTTTTTGCATCACTTGTTTTAATCAAAGGTATAGAAGTTAAATAGTGATATATGACAAAATACATCATTACAAAATCATGACAATTAAATACCGAATGAATGATCAAAAAGGGTGAATGTATTAACTGATTTAGTTTCAAAGGATGAAGCTCCAGACAATATTTTACACAGTAATCAAAGATGAAGCGGAAGTTCCTTAAGAGATATTTATATTTATATGACACATGTTGGAGATGTGTCATACGCTGACCTTATGATCAACCCATGTTTGAGTAATTTATCGAGATATTTTTCCAATTTTAGCTTTAATTAGTTTTAAATACACGGCCTGGCAAGAAACAGTGTCTAGTCAGTTCGATAAGATGGAAAATCAAGGTGCAGTGTACATGTTGGCGTGTACGTAAAAGAACCGTTGGGAATTGGAATTTGAAATAGGAGTAGGCTGTAATGCAGTTTTCCAGGTAAATTCCCCTCATAGCCAATTTTCGTTAGTGCCATGTTCCTGAAGCAATGACTGTGAGTTGTACAACATCTGGACGCTGTTAGATTACTTCACAATTCCCGAACTTATAGCTACGTTATCTCCTGACACGAGAATAGTAGCGTCCAATCATTGGTTGTGACATGGCGACCTCCACAGAAACCTTCAAGTTGAACGAACATTGAACTTTGCAACTCGATTAGCACAGGTAGACATTTTAGCTTGAAAGCGCGAGACATGGTATTCGCGACGATCGAGGAATCTGATAGGCTCACAAGCTGGGCTTATACTAAATCGAAATTAGTGCCGAAAGCGAGATCAAGCTTTCTATTGAAGATGGGATGGTGCAGAAAAGTAGGACGTTAAATCTCATTTAATTTGTAAATATACGGGAGATCTACTGAAATAAGTAATAAGTTTTATTCATTACTGCAGTTCTAATTCGTCAGGTTTTATAAAAAGAACATCGGATCATCTACCGTCTTATTTATCAGTTATCTGTTCTTGGTGATTTTATCAATTGTAATTGGCTGTAACAATTCTTGCCCGAGACTAATGATCTTTTTATTAGCTGGATGAAAGAGTGGGTTTAACGTCCGCTTCCACCGAAGGTGATATCGCAGACAAGTTCACTGTGTCTTTACCCTGATCATTCTTTCGTCGCCTACCTATGCCTATTATTTCGCTCCTCTGGTATGTTTCTTAGGAAACACTTGTCTACGACATCACCCAAGGTGGAAGCGGACGTTAAGCCCCAAGAACAAACGAATTAACTGACTATACTGCAGCGTAAAAGTTACCAACATGAACCAGCATGGATTTAGTTAGACATATATCTAATAATACATTACACGTATAGATATGCATACAAGTAATACATTACACATGTAAATGTACATACAAGTAATACATACACATGTAGAGAGAGAGAAAGTTTAACGTCCACTGGGGTTTAACAGTGGGAGGAAATCGGAGGACCCGGAGAAAACCCACGAGATTGGACAGGCGACCCTACTCCTTGTCACGTACAACCGGGGGTTCGAAACCACGCCAGTTGACTCAATGACAGGCCATCCAACCCCCCCCCCCCTACACATGTAGATGTTCATACAAGTAATACATTACACATGTAGATATTCATACAAGTAATACATTACACATGTAGAGGTACATACAAGTAATATATTACAAATGTAGATGTTCATACTAGTAATATATTACACATGTAGATGTACATACAAGTAATACATTTCATAGACGAAATACATTACACGCGTGGATGTACATACAAGTAATACATTGATTAGATACAAACAAAATACATTAAAAAATTTCTTCTAGTTCCCACTAGATTTGATTTCGATCTCTCATTAAAAGCCAAAAACACAAATAGGACCACTGCCTTGGCAATAGTTTTTGAAGGGTCAAGGATATGTAAAAGTAAACGTGTTGTACTTACCCCATCCAACAGTGTAGTAGAGAGCGTAGGAGGGTTTACTCGAGAACACGGATACAGCTATCATGTTGTGTAAATATAATCCTTCGATAAACATCCACATAAACTTGACAGTTTTAGTATATTCTAGCAAGGCATACAGCACTTCACAAAACACAGGCTAGAAAATTTAGAATTTAAGATATTGCATTACTGAAAATATAGAATTTAAGTAATGGCATTATTGAAAATATGGAATTTAAGTAATGGTATTATTGAAAATATGGAATTTAAGTAATGTAATGACATTACTGAAAATTCAGGCTTTAAGTAATTGCATTACTGAAAATAAATATAGAATTTAAGTAATGACATTACTGAACATATTGTAGTGTTTACATCTGATATTCCCACACCAACCCTATTACATTGCGAAAATCCATTTAGAAAAGATGTTTCTGTTTGCAAATATGTCCCTTCCGAACCTGGGCTGGACGTAATCCCACATTAAAGTGGTACCAGGTGTTCTGAATAGAGAGAAATCGAATGGGGTTTTAACGCCAACTCGACACATACTAGGTTATTTTAAAAATGTGCTTGAGCATAGGGGACTTTGACTGTGGGGGTGGGGTGGGGGAATCAGAGAACCTAGAGGAAACCCATGAGGTTGGAGAGACTGCCCCACTCCTTGTCATGTACAGGTGTGGGATTCCAACCACATCACTTGACTCAATAACAGACTTTATTTTCTCAAGCACACGCCACAAGCATTCCACCCCCAGAAAATGGACTAAGCACATAATTAAATTTATTTAAAAACAAATTAAAAGAAATGTATACGATATATTTGAATTTAACAGGACATTTGCGAGGACTTCATTATACCTCTGTTAACATACATTTCCAACCCTATAAATAAAAACTTACAGTATCATAGATGGCACCACTTTGACCACTCGGCGCACCTGAGCCCTCGCCACCAGCCGCCCTAGCAACGTGTTGATCTATATACAGAATTAATTCTATGATGACTTGCACTATAATTGCTACGAATAAATTCTTGTGGATCCTTGTTCGATTACATTTCAAGCCTCTACAAATACACACAACAACAAAAATGTTTAACATACAGGTATGCTCAAGGCATATGCATTAAATCTCAAAGATGCATTATGCAAGAGCTAAAATGCAGGTTAGGGAGGTCCTTATTTTGCAAAATTTGGAAATGTTAAGGAGCCACTGTCTATCAAAGTTCGAACAAAATGTGACGCTTTGGCAGTTTCTCAATTTTTTATCATTTTTATTTCAACTGCATTACAACGACAAGAGAATCACTATAAAAACGTAGCTACGATTCAAATAGTGTAATTGTTTAACCATAGATCATGTCCTTATTTTAATAATGTCACATTTGTATTTTAATGAATGATGTACACCACTATTGATCACTATTTGACTAAGCCACACTTTTACACATGTAGTAAGATCTTTCATAGCCAGTTATTATACATCGGCTAATTAATAACTATACTGTATAAGTTCTTTCCAACCAATTTCTATACATACTAACCTTCAATTACCGTAATTTGTATGATTTAATGGCAAAACATTTCATTGGTAAAAGTGAAACAACAACAAAATCCCCCCCAAAAAAACAAAGAATGTTTGACTACCCCAATGATGTCCAGTAAGCTTGTGGCCATGGACGGTTGGTACCTCTGATGAAACGAACTATCCAGAAGACGAGAATGGAACGGGAGTGGTGCAACACAATTCATATTGGTCGTGGTCAACACGTTTATAATATTCTTTCAAGATTGCTTTATCAATAATTTATTTAACTCAATAAATAAAATGTATTTTTTCAACGTACGTAATGTAGTCACGATAAATGAGTAAACGTGCCAATAGAAGATATAAATAACTGCTCTTCTATCACAAGCTTATTTTTTTAAGCTCATATACACTGGAATCATTGGCGGGGAATAAACAGAAGATCGTTAATAATATTATGTTCATAAGGATCTATTTTAAACCCCAGATAAAGTTTCCATTTCGTAAGATTTCCACTAAAATAATCTAGTTGTATTCTTATGGCAATTCACAAAACTTCAACTTTTACTAAAAGATGCATTATGATTCTTAAAAAAAGATAAAGAGCTGGTCGTTCTTGCTATAATAGTTCACAGATAGATAATGAGAAAAGGAAATGTACTGGTATTGAAATGTCAGTCACATTACTTTATTCTGAGCGAAGTTATGAAGGAATAGCACAGTCTCGATTATCATTGCTACGATGGTAAACGAGGTCTTGATTTTCCATAAAACTTGAACCGATTAAATGGGGTGGATTGTCTAATGATCCCAATCCAAGCTATCTGAATAGATGTCTAAATTCTAATTTATATAACATTTGAAGCCATAAAAAGACCTGCAATGGGCAGATTTAGCGCTAACATAATACACCTTTAAGGGCATAGATACCGCCCTGCGAAAAATTCATCTACCTATTAGGGCTAAGGTTATAACCCTATCACCCAATAGCCTTTAAACCCTGATTCTTGTGATGTCTAACTGGGCGTGCGGGATTTCCTATATCCCCAACCGGTCTGTCCGAATTGTCGTGGAGCCACTGTGGCTAAGTAGGTAAGACACTGGCTCGCTAGCCCGGAGGTCGGGGTTCGCTCTTGGTGTTGGTCGAGGAAGTTCCTTGGGATTTTCCGGCGTGGTTTCCCCTTGTCAGTGGTGAAGGACGGAGGGCAGCTGTCTAGTCATTCCGATGTTACGAAGTCCCGTGAACACATTTGCGTGTACGTAGAAGATTCCTGGGCAGTTGGACTTCGATATCAGAGTAGGCCGTAGCGCCGCTATGCGGGCACAATTTCCCTCATAGCACACAAGCAGAACAGTAGGGCGTTAAACCTCATTTCATTTCCCAATTGTCGTCCAAAAAAACAAAGCAATGACGGGCGCAGATGTAACTTTAAGCTTTCATTTAGTAAACAACTGAAAATCTTCCAAACAAGTTATTTACACAGGATACCCAAGTCCTTAGATGTCCGATATGTCAACTAAGTAGTTCCGTTAATGTTTGGTTTGATTGGTCACTTGTCTTGGTGACAGGTTGTCAAGATGATTGATTAAGTTCAAACATTAAATTAAGCTATAATTTTATAGTTGTACTTTCTCTACGTCTTATAACTAGTTATCTTTCAGATTTGTTATCTTTGAGATTATGTGTGCAGGACGGAAGGTCTGACAAGGACAGCTGTCTAGTCGTTCGGATGGAACTGAAAACTGAGGCCCCGTGTATACATTGGCATGCACGTAAAAGATCTCTTGGCAGTTGGAATTCGATATAAGAGTAGGCTATAGTGCCGCTGACCGGGCAAAATTTCCCTCATAGTACACTCTATGGCGTATGCCCGTCTTCATTAGCCCAGTCTGAGCAAAAAAGTAGGACGTTAAACTCCATTTCATTTCATTTCATTTCAATTGAGATTAGGTCCTGGGTACTTGACCATTTGACTAGCGCCCCCCCCCCCCCGCCCCCAAATCCCGAATCCCTACTCCTCAGGGAAATAAACCTAACTAATATTGTTTCTCTCAAGCGTATAAGAATTTGTCAAGAAACCCATTACAACCGGGTAATTAGTCGACACCGAAAACTAATTATTTTAGAAAGCACATTTGTTTAATAAGATACACCAGTTAAAGGCCCAATACCACTTTTGTTGTAACTGAATAATATGTCCCAATATTTATTCTGGTCAACAAATTGTACTATTTTACAATATTCCAATTAATTGATGATAAAAATTTCATCTTAACACACCTAATTTAAAAAATTGGAAAAATTCAACTAAATGATTTGAAAAGCCTGACGTAAAGCTTTTCAAATGTGACTTGGATTTAAAAATATTTTTAAACCCTTTGGACAAGTAAAATAGGATTTAATGGATAATTTTCACAACAAGTAGGACACTAACACATCTAGTACTTAGAATAAGGCTAGTTTTTTTATTTTCAGGAGCTGTGAAGCCAGCAAGAGTGTTATTGTCCCTTTAAAAGTCTACTTCCTTTGTTAAAATTTGCTTCACTGAACGTTTACCATTTAACATTTCTGACAACGAGGATATTAAACGGAAGAATATATTAATTTGTTGCCTTTATTGTTTTGTTTGAACATTCTATATTTCAGAAAAGTGGCCGAGGCAGAGATTTTGGTTGGGGGTGAGTGGGTGTGCGGTTGATGCTCCCCGGAGCAAGTTTTGAAAAATCAGACCGTCATTGGTCATTTATGGCGTATATCTGGACCCGAAAACAACATTCGATTTCACCAGCTACATTCCGTAACCCCAACCAATATACATGTATATGTACCTGTTCAATAATAAGTAAATGTTTTATGCTATTATTTACAGTGGACCGACACCTGGATCTGTCTCTTTTTTTAGAACTGCACAGGTCGTGTTTGTATAGAATGGTATCAGACAGCATATGAGCGGAAGAGAAGATATATACATGTATATATGTATACGAAACTAGCAACTGTATGTAAGCGGAAGTTAAAAATAATACGAAAGTGACAATATACAAGAAAATTAAAGGATCGCTTTGTCGTGTTAATAATGAGTTGATCCAACACAACATCATCAAGCTTAAACAAATTAGGCCGACTTTAGCAACTTACCTGAAATATGCAAATATAATCAAAGACAAGAAGGTAGCGACCAGCGATAAACAAAGTCCACAAATCTCTAATGTTCTTGTACTTCTAACAATATCATACATCAGCTAAAATGAAGAATGTTAAATCTTTTTAAATTATGATTTATGTCAGAAAAACTGAAACATACAAAAATTATTAATGCATAATAATAAAAAATAATAATTTACTGAACTTGTATGACACCAAAATTCAGCTTGCGATGCTGCTCTGTGGCGCTTGTAGAAAAGAATTTGATTATAACCACACAATATAAAACAACTAGCAGGATACTTGAGGCCCAAATTCGTATGGGGCCCAAATTCGCATGGGACCCAAATTCGCCTGGGACCCAAAGTTATCAGTGACCCAATTCACACGGACCCAAATACGCCCCCGGCCCAATTTTCCCGGGGGCCCCGGGGGACCTAAAATATTTACGGGGTCATGCTGGTTAATTTGATACCACATGTGTAGGGATGAAACGCGGCGACGAAGAGTGATTCGCCCGGGGCCAAGGCCCTATTTGCCCGGGTCCCAGATGGCCTAAAATATTAGGGGGGGGGGGCATGCTGGTTAATTTGATACCACATATGTAGGGGCGGATCGAGGCAACAAAGCGTGATGGGCGAACACAGTCACAAGCATTAATGCTGGGCATTAACCCAGAAAACATATGTCCAATACAAGTAGGCCTACAAAAGTTAAATAGAGTCACTTGAATACAAATTGCAAAGTGATTTTTCTAATCGTGTCATGTGATATTCCAGAACATTAACTTTTCAAATGGATTCCTTAAAATCTAAAAGCTTTTGGTACAAAAGATTTTTAGTGTCCATGTGTTTACTGTAATTCGTCCTTGTTTTAACCGTGTTTCCTAGTTAATGCTCCCCGTTGTAATAAAATTACTCTTAGGTCACATCAATTTATTGTTATGTTCTTCGGGGTATTTATAAATAAATGGCAACTTAAATCATGTGAAAGATGCTTTGGTTAAAAATTCAAAACTTAAAAATTGATATGTAATAGCGAGTACTTTTTATATTTAAATAAGTCCTTTTCCCAAAGAAATGAGAAGTAAAATGTTTGCAGGTGGTTCCTGAAGAACAGAGAATCAAATTGGCATGGCCTTACAAGAAGTATGTCGTTGTGTGTGTCTGACATACAAAAGAAGAAATTTGGCAACACAATGGGTATTAATATTAGGAAGATAATATTTTACGACAAAAACCATACGACTTCCACTAGCTTGTCGATCTTTATATCTCATAAATACACCAGACTAAGTGCAAATCTAAAAGGCTTTAAAATGGAAGCCATATTGATGTAACATAACGAATGTAGAATAATATGTTTCATAATTGAAAGACAAAGACAGTGAAATCTAGTAAAAACAGCAGAACCAATCTTTCCGGTTCCAAATAACGAAATATTTTTATAAACAAAACAAGTTGATGCCCTAAATGTATATATTGACTTCAAAAACCTCTTGTGTCCAGGCCCGTAACAAGAAATGGTGGGGGGGGACTGGAAAAAATGTCGACCATTTAAAAAATAGATGTACATTGTCCGTCAATTTTACAGCACCCCTGAGAAAACTTCCCGGACTTCTGATATGTTTAAAGGCTCAATACCACTCTTGTTGTAAATGTGTTTAAACATGATATGTTTAAAGGCCCAATATCACTCTTGTTGTAACTGAATAATATGTCCCAATCTTTATTCTGGTCAACAAATTGTACTATTTTATAATATTCCAATTAATTGGTAATACAAATTTCATCTTAACACACCTAATTTAAAAAAATTGGAAAAATTCAACTAAATGATTTGAAAAGCCTAACGTAAACCTTTTCAAATGTGACTTGGATTTAAAAATATTTTCGAACCCTCTGGACAAGTAAAATAGGGTGTAATAGATAATTTACACAACAGGTAGGACACTTAAACATCTAGTACTTAGAATAAGGCTATTATTTATTTTCTGGAGCTGTCAAGCCAGCAAGAATGTTATTGTCCCTTTAAACACATTGTATTTTGAATGTCCGTATTAACGTCAATCAAGAGCACCTTGTATCACTTATCACACGATATGGAGTGTTTTAGACATTAAACAAGAAACACTTTCTATTTTTCTATAGCAATATTGAGTATTTTGGATGTTTGGGTTTATACATGAAACAATATGTATTTTTTTCTATTTATGGAATCACATGTGCATGATGCAACACAATTATCTTTGTGACATAAACATACTTTGATCTTTTTAATGGTTAAAAATCTTTACCTTGAATAAGGTTACCTTGAATAAGATACTTTGATGTACATAAAGTGTTAATCTGTTATATTTATAACAAAAGGCCACATCAATCTCAATATCTGTTCTTCAGGCATACTAAACTTAGGCTACCTGTCTACAGTTGAGAACAGAAACTAAGCTAGTTGACTGATATTTAAAGTCCTAAATCGTCGACTTTAGTCAAAATCACTAAGTATATTTCAAGAAACCTTTGAGAAGTATATATTCTGCTTCCATTTAAAAAAATTAAAAAGGTTTAATTAGTCTTTTTTGTATAACATATGGGAACCAGAATCGGACTGCATTACAAAACAGTATACTCATTGTCGGATATGGCCGCCATTTAGGGTAGATAATTCTCTGTGTGCAGAATGTCCTTCAGGTTCTTGATACATAAATAACCACTTAAAGTTGCAATTTCATATTTTTAAGTTATATTTTTAAAATTTATTAAAATAAAGCCTTAAAATAGATGGTATCTATAAACAGTCCTACCCTGTAAAAGAATAATCCTATTAATCCTATAATTCACTATTGCCAGTTGAGAAATTGGCAAAAATATCATTTTCATCTTTAAATTCAAACGTTTGAAGAGAGCTACTCCATGGTGAAGAATAGAAAAAAGGGAGGTAATTGGGAGGTAATTGTGTTTTTATTTCCGGTGTAAATGAGTTTTAAGTGTCAGAATGACACCTATGATCGTATAATAGTGAGTTGACATCCTATTGAGCAAAAGACATAGAAATAATTATGTTTTGACCTTCTTAGAAAATATGAAATTGTAACTTTAAATCAGTGAAAGATGTTTCGTTTAAAAATTCAAAACTTAAACATTTGGAAGTAAAAGCTTATGAACAGCACAATCAAATACATTTGTTTTGTTAAATAAGTCTGTTTCACAATGAAATAAGAAGGAACATTTTTACAGATATTTTCAAGGAACAGAAGATCACATTGGCGTAGCCTAAATCAGATTTTTTCATGTAGAAATTAAATTAAATTTGCATTCAGGACCGTATTTATATAGATATTGTCATGTGTTGCTTTTCTGATGTTCTTGTAGACAGCATCATGTAAGAGCTACAATTTTTCAAATAACCTATTCGGTTTAATTATCTGGCAATTTTAGGACAAGACAAATAAATACAGTGCAAAATCTGAATGATACCAAGCCCATAATACTTTAATTCTAAATTAGAGATGTTCGTTTATAACTTTCATTAATATAATTGTAGACTCTAATAAGTACCGTTATAAAATGTGAAATGTTTACAGCTAGAGAATAATGTTAACATTGGGGTTTGGGTTGTCATTAATAGAACGACAGAGACATTACAGATCATAATAAGCCACTTCCTGACTATGTCTAGGTTTCCGGTTGGCTAGAAACAAAAAGGTTTTAGCGAATCCATAACGTCATTCTTCAGAAAAATATTTATAAAGTATAAACCAGTATTTGGTGTTTTAGATAGTGAAAGCATTATATTAAGACAAAATAGGAGTTTATAATAATCTTACGTTACTTTAGACATACAGTTCTCGATAATTCTGTATTCTACACTGAATCTGAGTTTCCACTAGTTCCTTTAGTAACGGTCTGTGACATCGTACGATCAGGAACTAAGTTCACAGCGTGGAAAGCACATAAATTTCCAGTTCTACTGTACACCACCAATTACTACGATTTCCGTTCCTGTTATTGAAGCGTCGCCATCCCTTCCTCCCAATTGTGGTAGAGAGTGTTCAGCCAAAGAACCAAGACCAAGAACATGGTGATGATGGTGGTGGTGGTGGTGGTGGAGGGGGGGGGGGGTAGAGAGCATGTTAAAAAGACACATTAAAGTCTATGTTGACAAATGTTAGTGGTCTGTATCCCACTTTTCAAGGTATAGGTAACAACGGGGAAAGTAATAGCCATTTGTCTGTTATATCACCCTAGGTGGAAGCGGGTGTTAAGCCCAATCAAAAAAATAGGAAGAGTGCCACCTACCTGTTTCTGTGCTGGGGTTTTATCAGCTATATACTTATCAAATATTTCTCTTGCTTCTTGTGTATAGCAGTTTAAATAGTTAGAATAGCCATTAGGCATACTATTATCACTGGGTGTTTTTCCTTCCCATTTACCATCAGACCGACAATTTCTGTAGGCGAAATCTTAAATTAAAAACAAATTATCCACTACTGTATATTATATTTACATACGATGTGAGCCACTGAATGAGGATTGGTACAAGGTGTTCTGAAAGAGTGGGTACACACCCGGCCACTGCATGGCACTAGTCACAGAGTAATGGTTTCTACGCCCCCCTCTCTCTCTCTCTCTCTCTCTCTCTCTCTCTCTCTCTCTCTTTTAATGTTGAACAATTAAATGTAAATGGTAATGGTGTTCCAACCCATTTAATATCATGGTCAGTCGAGAGAGTTGATGATGATGCCTGATAAATAACATTTGAAGCACATAAAAAGTCGACAATAGGCAAGTTTAGCAATGAAATAAAAATGCATATTTAACGTATTTGTATAGGCGTGGTTCAAATGAAAGTTTTCTATACAGAATTTATCATATTCGGTGTAACTTGCCAATAAAATCAGCATTTGTTACATTTAATATATAAAATTTTACATCGGTCTGGAATGACAATTGTCTCGCTTCGAATTACTACGAAAGCGGGATTCATTACAAAATGTAATATGCTACATGAAAACGTTTCATAACAATATTGCGATTTATCATAGATTTTGTCAGTCACCAATCGCCGTTAATCACAAATAAATACAATTATTACTTCAAGTCTGGCTAGACAGTATTCATAGCAGTAGTTTACCCTGAGCAGCCCTGCCGATATCAAAAGTAAAATTATGAGTAATACAACATAAAATTGACGTATCTTAATGATTATTCAGGCGATCTTTAAAAAAATTATTAAAGTCTAATGAAACAATTCTTAATGACAAACAATTCTTAAACACCAAGGTCATTAAATATCTGTTCAAGTATGTGGTGGCATGCTATGGTAGTGTTTTTGTAACTATCGGTAAATACAAATATGCAGCGAACCAAAGGGGGTACTGAGTGAAACTATGGCACTGAACTACGACATGTTAACATGTACGTAAATATATGCTAGGACTGTTTCCATTTATATACAGAGGTACTGGAACGTCCGAGGGGCAGGGATACAAAGGGGAAAATCGGGCGCAGATACGATGAAATCTGACGTCTTCTGGCTGGCTACTAATTAAAGCCTATCAGATCAAAATACAACTCAGATCAATAGAATCAATAGCCGGAGACGAGCACGAGATGGGATCTCCCCCTTACCTAAGCAACCAATGCTCAGTTATTAAAATCGGTGAAGAGTTGAAGCGAGAAGGGTGATCAAACATTTTAAAGGACAGTCAGCAAAAAAAGTAAAGGCAGCGGGGCAATTGACGCGTGCTTTTTCGGGCAGTGGGCATTTGAACCCATAGCCCCACCGTTCCGGCGCCCCTGTGTATATACTTACTAGTCGCAATGAGTCCTGGCATTGGCGGACATGACAGTTGAACACGTGCTCCAGCTTTGGTCGGTGGCCAACACAGCCATTTATCCCATGTTCCATTGCAATACACGTCTAAAATAAACAAAAATAATGATATTGCAATACACATCTAAACTACACAAAAATAATGACATTAAAATACACATCTAAACTACACAAAAATAATGACATTAAAATACACATCTAAACTACACAAAAATAATGACATTAAAATACACATCTAAACTACACAAAAATAATGACATTGCAATACACATCTAAAATAAACAAAAATAATGACATTGAAATGCTAAAATTAACAGTAGTACATGTATTTGAGCATAAGACATAGTCCGAAATGTCGGATTTTACCATCGGACTTGTTATTGATAGCTGACCGTCACAGTAGTTTTCAAAGGTCTGGAGAGAACGAAGGGCAATTTTCTTTTTAAAAATCACTCAATAGCGTGAATTTAAAAAGAGTTACCTCAAATGTTCCAACCAGATCCAGCGATACTAAAAAAAACAACAATTGCGCTCAATGTACGTACACACACACACCACAGACTGGCTCTCATCCTTGGTAGGACAAGAAACCAGTGAACGGTGCTGGTGGTCGACAGACTGGTATCCAATTTCCTCAGATTTAGGTTTCGATTTTTAAAATTCTGCATTTAGCCCCGCATTAGCATGCTGATATATCTTCTAAAACAGTTAAGTAGTAACTGTACTTGTTTATCGTTAGAACAACTTGGCCTGGACCAAGAAGTGTTGGAGTTCGGTGCAAATTTCTGGAGAAGATGAAGCAGGGCAGAGACCAACGACCGCTCTAAAGTGCCAAAATTTGGTCTGCATATCTTCCCTCGGAGGCCATGGCACGCCTCTGATGGATCACTCAAAAGCAGAATTTGTTAACGGCAATTGAAAGGTTACGAGGTTAAAGAGGGAGAAGAGAGGGGGGAGAAATTTTTGTAGGAATTCTGCCCCAGCTATCTCAAATTAGACTATAATAGCGTTTTAAAAGACATATGCTGCAATTGAAAAGTTCATTGGGACGAGGGTAACGTCTACCTTTTAGTGATTTTCTTTATTATGTAATAGTTTGAGTTTTGGGAATTCTTTTAACAGATGCTATGTTTGTCAAGAGCAATAAAAAGTTGGAGGTTGTTAGGCCAGTCCTTCTTTTGGGACAAGAAACCGAAGTCCCGTGTTTACTCAGCGGTCTGCTCGTTCATGTGGTAATTGTACTACTGTGTACTATATGTGTAACTGACAATTTGTTTGCCTGTTTGGGTGTTGACTGCTACACCAGGGCTGTCACTAGGCAGAAATTTGAGGTATAAAGGCAGCTGAGCCTAGGAGTAACGCTACCACTTCCAGTTTCTAACTTTTACTACTTCCGGTTCAGGCCTCTATCCATGCAGTGCGAGGTCAACCATAAGTAGCCTACTTATATGAACAGCACGAATCAGACAGCCAATTTCATCACCATAATACAAACTGAATTTACTTAATAAACAAGAGTTATACATCTGTACGTCAGTGGTCCGTCTTCATTACCTCAGTCGGTTCACAATAGTAGGACGTTCAACCCCATTTCATTTAATTTCATATCTGTCAGTAGATTAGGCTATTGTTTATTCACCTACACGTACCATTGTCCCTACTAACCCCCCTCCACCCTCTCTTCATCTCATCTAAGCACTAGTCTTAGTCTATCATTGGTTCGTCTAATTCAATAAGCAGAGATCTTAGCTCATCAACACCCATTGAAGAAAGACGATCGTCTAGGGACGTATATACAAGGACACCGACCTATTAGAAGGATACTTTTCGCCACTTACACAACCAGTGACAATGTCCACTTGTTGGAGTAAACAAGCAGAAAATATCATAGGTTGAAATAAATCCCCAGGATATTAGAATGTATCAGTTAATACGTTAAGTCCAACTTCCCTGTTGCATCGACACTTTCTGAACTTTACATTATGTCTTCTCAGTAATGTTATTAGTAGCTACAGCAACGACTTTACACAGAAAAAAAAAACGTAGACGTCAGAACAAAAAAAATAATCCTTGAGTGGAATTCACCGATTGAGCACAATAAAACATAATCATCGATATGGAAAAAAATATTTTGATTGAGCACACAAATATTTACGATACTTAAAGGCATATGGTCAATCAGTATTTTCCGTATTTAAATTTAACAAAGTTAAAGATGCATTATGTAAGATTTAGAAAATGAGCTGACCATTCTCGATATAATAGTTTAAAAAAAGATAATGTGAAATGAATATTCAATATATTGAAAATTTTGATAAAGACCTGGCGATTTTTGTTATAATAGTTCAAAAATACGTGATAAAAAATGAATGTATTTAAAATTTTACCCAGGTACTATGATAATAAACATATTCTCAATTACCGATCTAAAAAATAATTTATATAACATTGGAAGCCAGTCATAAGACCTGCAATAAGCAGATTTAGCTCTTACATAATGCATCTTTAAAGAGTTTGATAAAGGGTGGCCATTTATGCTATAATAATTCAAAAATAGATGATAAAAAAATATTGAAAATTTTAGTCAAATTACTGTAATCTGAACGGAGCTGTCATTGTTGGAAGTTTGGACTAGAATTAGGCATCAACTGTCTCCGCACCGTCTCCGAGAATTGCCGATCGTTTGATTGGCAGACGTTAACTCCACAGGCCCGTAGCTAACGGGTGGGGCAAGGGAACCGAAGGCACCCTTTCCATTGGACGCAATATGAAGTCAACGACCAACGTGCCCAAATCAGTATTGGCGGGGCGCCCAACCAATGTTACTTGGTTTTATGGGCGCCTCGCCAATCATGTCGTTATAATGAGGCGCCCCCAAATGGTGAGGCGCCTCATAATGAATCACACTATTAACACCACAACTTGACTGATGGGGCGCGCAAAACGGCGTGATCTGTGGGGTGCCTTATCCCGAAATTCAAACAAGTCCCACTCTAACCCGATTCCGAACTTTTCGTTTTTCTCATAAATTATTATAGGTAAGCTCAAATTTTTATAATGTTCATATCAAAATATCATAATACGTTAATGTCGCAAATTAAGCCTCAAAATTGAAATTTTCCGTCATTCTCGTAGTTCCTCCCATTTTCCAAAGTTTTCTGGGGGGAGAGAACCTTAGACCCTTTACGAAGCGAGGAGCGTCCGCGGTGCAGTTCGCCGTGGACCATCAAATGTAGGTACAGCCCTTGCCCCCATTCCCCACACACATTTTTGAGCTAGTAAAGGGCCTGCTCCACCCACATATTCTCGATTATCAAGTAACATTGTCAATGGCTACGGTATCCTCGATTAACAGGCATTTCATCGGCAATCACCGGTAGTGAAGCCAGTGACTAACGGTAAACGTAAGCTTGGTCAGTATTTATTGATTTAATTATTAAATGGATGACTGTTTAAATTCAAGCTGTATACAAGCCACCCGATAGTCTACAAGGTTGATTTTAAACTTGTCATGTAAATAAATACCATTACATGTATATCTAAAGAGTTTCAGTTACATGTAGTTACAACCAAATTTGATTTAGATCTCTTATCAAAAGCCGAAAACACATATAAAGCCACTGCCTTGGCATTCGACTTTGATGGGTCAAAGAGATGAATAAAATTGTAGTAAAGCTCAGGAATTGTTGAGAAGGCTGGGTATAAATGGGCAATGGGCTTTGTGTAGTTATTAATACTTGCAACAGTTTAACAATAATTAAGAAATAAGGAATACTGAATAAAGAGCTGCTTGGTCTTCCATAATGATGCGTTTATCATTTTCGAGTTTTTATGTGTGTATACTAACTCAGATATACTTCTTCCTAATTTAAAGATACATTATGGGAGATTTTTATAAGGAGTTGGCCATTCTTGCTATAACAGTTCAAAAATAGATGATGAAAGAAGAGAAGAATATATTGAAAATTTCAGTCAAATTACTTTATTCTGAACATAGTTATCACCAGTGTAATTTTTGACTAGAAATGAGATTGAATTCCGTCTTCACCGATTCTTAGTATGGCCGATCGTTTGATTGACAGGCGTTAACTCCACCTACATAATCTCTGCTGTATTTTGTCTGCTGTCATCATATCCGAATTAGTGTTTTACCTTTTTGGATTTTTATAACAATTGGACAAAATGAGTGAGACAGTAAATTTTCATTCTTACTTGTATTTTGGGCATGCATTAAATCAATTGAATATAGGACATAATATTATAATACAATTATGATGAATCTATAGGTATACACCAGTGGCGTCGTGCCTATTGGGGAAATAAAAATATTTTTATTGATATTATTAAGACAGAAGACCTGTCCGTCTGTATTAGTCATCACACGGTCTCCAGGAATTGTATAATTTGTCATTATCTGTGTTTAGTTTATTGCACTTTAAATAATTTAGATGTCATTTGTTAATTCATTGCTCAACAGCGGTCTCGCTTCGTACACTCTATCATTTAGCCTCGATCCGGGAGTATGACGTCAACGTAACGCCATTTAAAATTAAATCAGTCAACGAAATCCCGTTTAAATCCAAGCCATCCGTGGGTCTACAGAGTTGATTTTGTGCTTGTTGTGTAAATAAAGATCTAATTTATAATTTCTATGACATCTGAAGCCTAAATAAAGACTTGCAATAATCAGATTTAGCTCTTGCATAATGTATGTTTAAATGTGATGCAAAACACACAATTACAAAGTTTGCATATTCGGCATTTGCTGATTGATTTATCTACCACAGTGATAATTTACAGGAAATTGCGTAGCCGCTCTATCATTACCACAAGCAGTGTGTTAGATTGAAAGAACCATGGCTATTTCCTCTCAATTTTCATAAAACAATTTTTACATTTAGTTTTAGTAAGAAGTGAACGTCAACGGATTTAAGATCAAAGAAAACGCCATGAGTTTTACTGTTGTGTATAATATATTTTAATGACGGTACGGAAATGAAACGAACTAACTAGGCTTCGCATTAAAATTAAAATACAATCCTCCTTAGAATATCTTGTGATTTATATCTGAATCAATATAGATTAAA